TGTCATTTTTAATTGGCTGGCTCCATTGTGCGCTTTGAAATGAAACCTCTCCAGTACCAGGTTGAGTGGTATTAATTAGTCGCTTCTTCGTCCTCGACCTCACACGCTTTCCTACTCAAAAATGTAAGTGGGAGTATGCAAGACAGAGAGAGATGCCATTTCAGACACGTCAAATGCCATGACAAAAGTCAGCTTAGTGAATATTTTACACTCATATGCACAACGACAGCTTATATACTCTATTGTCATCTCTGTCTGTGTCTCTATCAAGCTGCCCAGCCGAGTTTCGGTGCTTAAGGACTCAGCGCACAAAAGTCAAACGGTTCAGATAGAAGCTCAGCACCTATTCTTGTGCTTTATTATTTATCCATTTGCTTTAGATGATTTTTGAGCTCCTTGCAATGCTAGGCAACGTTGCGTGTAGCCTTTGACAGGACAGACGATGTCTTGAATCAGATTCTGTTAGTTTAGAGCAATTGAGAAGGTGTTCTTGTTGACATATTCAATAATTTTACAGTGTTAGCTAAAACCGGAGCAAAGAGTTGTATAGACCGAAGGATGACTGTTCTGTAGATTTAATGGATATGCTGTCCATTACTTCCCTTCCCATAGTTTCTGCTAGTTATCTGTGTATTAACCCTGATATTGTACAACAAAGTATGTTTTGAATTACTTTGATGGATGATACAGCTATTGGCAAAATGTAACTCACATAACTCTTAGTACTTTAATACTAATGTTCAATGCAATGAAATTAATTACTATGAAATTTCTACAAACAAGATACACGAAAATATAAACAAGACAACAGACAGAATATTGCATTTGAAATTAATTTTGTTTCGCTTATTTGTCTACTGTCATCCTGGCCGTCTTGAACTCGAGCCATTTCTCGGAAACTTCAAATTACCATTTTGCATTTTAATAATACATTTTTCGTCTGCTACTCCTGGCATCTGGCTTCAGAGCTCATATTTATTGCGTTGTGATGCACGCGAACTAGAAAAAACAAACACAAAAAAGGGCAGCTTGCGAAAGTGCTGCAAATTAATTCCCATTCCAGTTTCGTAAAAAGTTTTACAATGCTCCTTGTTTATATTTAAGTAGAAGAATGACTATGAAAATAACTAAATGGGCAAGTGTCTAACAGGTTTTATAGCAGATATCTCAGAGGAAAGAATAGCACACTGAGAGTGCCCCTATTTGTATGATATTCCAGCGTCTAAAATGTGTATTAATTGCGCAAATAAGTAATAAAGTTCTGACATGGCCAATATTACTTATTTGATCGCACATTCAACTAGCTCTAACACTAAGCCGCATTTAAAGCTTTGCGAAGCAGCAGCAACATCAATACTCGAACAACACACACAAAAACACAGACACAAACATCCTCGAGCATGAGGTTAATAAAAGTCCTACGACATTTTGACCTAAAAAAATATTATAAAATAAAATGGTTACCAGTCTGTTGCTTCCGCAGTGTTGTTGCTGTTGCTGTTGATGTTGCTGTTGCTTCTCCTGCGTGCTTTGTGGACTCTCCAGCTGTGCCGGCAGCCAACAGCCCACAGCCTGAAAGTATGCTTTAAATAGTGGCATAGTAAAATATTTACTTTGGCAACGGCTGCAGCGACAAGGAGACAAAAGTTCGGCATGGGCGAGGCACGGGCAAAATAGGGTTGCCACAGAATACTAAAAAGTATAAGCCGGGCATGCAGAAAAATTCATTAAAAGGGATAATGACTCACATAGTTTGTGACGATCCTTGCTGGCGATGCGTCTGCTCTGTGTGTGTGTGTGTGGGTGTGCTTTTGTGCGTGTCAGAAGATTAAGGATTTTGGTAGCATTTTTCAGTGAAATTTAATTACAAATTATGTGAGGCAGCAAAGCAGTTACACTGTGGACGATTCGGCTCAAAAAAGACTTTAAAATTACATTATGGCATACTTGAAATTTTTCGAGTTGTCCTTTACTGCTTTGGTTACAGATTAAACCAGCATTGGCCACAGAAATCTGCGCTAATTAATGAGCTATTCCATTTAAAGGCTAAATATGCTTTGTTCAATTAGCATATTTCATTCGGTAATATGCAAATTAAAAGGACCTTGCCACTGGCTGTTGACCTGATTCCGACTGCAAATTTATTGCACCCTAACCACAGGAATAAAATGTTTGAATTGCATATTGTAAAAAACATATTTGCACAGAAATAACTGTTACAGTCCGATTTTCTATTTATTACAGTTCGTATTTCTTTTTTTTTTTGTACTATAGGAAAACAGTAAAATTCTACTTGTAGAAATTAAGTTAACGAGTTTTGCTTGCATCTGTAGAAAATAATAAATGAAATAAAACTCAGTTCAGCGGACATACTTGCTGGCACACCAGTGCCATGAATTGCCATTTCCAGCTCATGAAGCTGTTGAACTTGGCGCAATTTTCACTTGAAAATGCAGTCAGAGCATACCCAGCATCCATGCTGACTAAGTAGACCACAAAGTGCACCTTGGATCAGCAGGAGCAATAGCACAACAAGAATGTTGCTTAAATCGCTGGCAGAAGTGTGCAAATTAAAGTGCACATGAAGCTGTAGGATTTTTAATCAGAGCACAATTTACTTTTGAATATGGAAGTAGGCAACAGACAACTTAAATCAAAGCAATCAACTCTGCAGAATCAAGTGCTGCCTCATAGGAATACGGCTGCAGCTGCTTCTCGTCTTTTGGCAGCTGCTCTATCAGATTGTAGTGCGCACATCATTCAAGTGCAATTTTTGGCATTTTTAAGCGGATACAGCATACAAAAGACGAAGGATACCAATGCCAGTTGTCTGCACTCCTGTTCACCAAAGGAAATCAATTTGTGCTCTGATCCCTCACTCCAGCTCATGTTACATCTGTCTGTTTAAGATTGATGAAATCAGCTCCAGGCAGTGCCACCGCACAGCATTACAGAGCCAACTAACTTGATTACAACATTGCGCATACGCCGAGTAATACAAGCGATGCAATTTAATTATGCTTCGCCATCAGGTAGTAGGCGCAAATGCAACACATGCAATGTCAATTAATCAAAGTGCACCACCAATAATGCCCCTTCATGTGCCTTCTCCAGATCAAGCAGCACTCAAACTGCATCATTAAAGGTATTACCCTAGGCGACAGCCTCCAATGTTTGGCATCCTACGGTCACCGCTGAACGTTTGCTGGCTGACTGCCACTACTCGCCTGCCCACCTGTTTTTCTGACTCCGCGTGCATAATTAAATTTATTATGCAAGAGTAACAAGACAAGCAAGTTGTTCCTCTTAGTACTGTTTTTCTTGCAACAAGCCAACCACTTTAAGCTTCAGCCCCACAGCGCCCGTTTTTCACGAGCACATTGCAATTTATTAACAAACCGACGTGTTTTCCCAACAAGGAGTGTTCAAATAATAGCGTGAGATTTTATATTTAAGACAATTCACATTACAAGTCGCTCAGGAGGTTTAAAGTTTTAGGTTTGACTACAGCGAAACACAGATTTTTAAGCACTACTTCAAATTTCAACTCTTAATTTAACTTGAAAGTCCAAACTTAATAGAGCAACGCATAGCTCTGCATTGCTTTTGCATAAGTTTTGCTACTTCAGGGCAATTATTTGTATTCTTTTTATACCAAATTTAACATATGATTTGCCATTCAAAGCACACAAAGATAAAAATATTTTAGTAAAATGAGAAAAAATGGTGTAATAAAAAAATGTATTTCTGACTCCTGACAAAAAATTTAACTTATAAAGTAACTTTAAAAAAATGATTAGAGTTGTAGCGTTATTTTAATATAAAGTGGACTTTAACTGTGAGTACTAATTGGACGGGGACCTCAGAAAGAGCTTCGTCGAATCGTTTGCATACTGAACTATGCATTTGTTACCTTTTTGTTGCTATTGGTAGCGCAAAGGAGAAACTCTTTTGGGCATCCACAAATGCAGTTTGCAAAAATTTGCCGTCTAAAAACAACGTACACGCCAAAAGTCCGTAAAAGCTACCTACGCATTTCGCTTGCCTTCGTCGGATCTGTCTATTTCGCTAATTAGGCTCACTTCACATGTGTTTACGCAAATGTGCGGCAAGCTGTTGCCGCCAATTTGATGCAAACAAATGTGAAAGGTGCTAGAGCCCACAAATTGCTGGCACGCCATCCTGGGCATACAGCTCGCAGCATCATTCTAAAGCATTCCTCCCCTCCCCCCACAACCACTACAAAAAAAATGGTGGTTCCTTGTGTTGGCGCCGGGCTTTCACTAATTGGCAGCCGATGCTCATGGACAGCAGTGGTCCTTGCCACATCGAATACGATACTGGATAGCAGCATCTTCTTCGAGTTGCGTGCAACTAGAGTTCAATCATAGGCGGCGTACACACAATGCTCAACAATTTATATAACCGGTGATGACAGATTGTTATTCAACTGTTGAGCTGTAACATGTTCAGCAACTCGCTTTCTTTCATTAATTCTCATTTGGTATTCTCATCTGGTTTAGCAAATCAAAACGAATTAACATTAAACTTGGCTGGCTGGCTTGGGGACTAATTAAACTGTTCGTCTCAAGCTAAAATTGTTAAATACTCTTGAAGGCATCGCAGCTGTTTTTGGCACTTGGCCTACTGCTCATAAATAACGCTTGATCACCTGAACGTATCTCAATTATGTGTAATAAATAACAAAATATGACCGCTGATATGCGGCCGGAATACGAGTGCGAAACAGATCCTGTTGTATCGGCAAACGCAATTCCGCCGGCTCCTCATAATTAAGTGGTTTTTAATGAGCGCAGGGCCAAATTGTGTCCCTTAGGCAAAAGTAAGCTAGCTGGCAGAATGGGCCCAGTTGTGTGGTGCTTGGACTTTGATTTGTGGCCACTTGGGCTGGCTATTTAGATTAAGCATACGCAGCGTGGCATAACACACAATTCATAAATGTCACAATACGCAGCCAAATGAATAAATTCAGTAGAGAGTTAAGAGTTCAGTTACTGTTTATTACAGGTACGTGTCGTGGAGGGAAACAGCACCTCAAGAAATTGTCTTTGCTGCCTTCTGGTCCTTTTTGGTTTTGCTTCGCTTGGACGACTGCGACGGAGATGATTGCTGCTGCTCCTCTTGTGTAGATTTATCCTGATGCTCCACAATGCGCTGGAATAGCAATGCACTCCACTGGTTATCCAGCTGGTGATTGTGTTGCTTGCCAGTGGCAAAGCTAGCGTTCAAATGATGCCAACTACGCTCAGAGCTGGGCACGTTAAGTTTATCGAGCAGGCGGCTGGTTAGCTGTGGCATCATTGGCTGCAACACAATGCCGCAAAGTCGCAACGCATCCATTGTCATTGCGATTATTGTCTGCAGGCGTTGCGCATCGGGCGTTTTGCCGTTCGCTTTCAGCTCCCAGGGCTTGGCGCACTCAAAGAAATTGTTGGCCGCATGCAGCGTTGCAATAACCGTGTCGGCCACCAAGTGGAAGTGATTGCACTCATAGTGCTGCTCACAGCGCCCTGTAAATGCAAATGCAGATGCGAGTGAAAAATGGAAATGGATATTGAGGGCATTACTTTTCAGCTTTCTGGCTGGCCGCACTCCCAAGTGCACTTGTCGCGTAGTTATTGGCCGGAAGTGCGCGCTTGTCAGTGACATCCATGGAACAAAGTCCACTCAGCCCACACTCCTTCGCAGCGGCGACTGCTTAAATATTTAAAAAGGAAAGGCTGCTGAGATGACTCACCTGCCAGTTGCAGGAGTGCCTCCTGCAGTCGCTTAGCGGCATCCAAGTCTTGCAGCAGCTGTGGCAAGTGCTCGACATGCGACGCGGGATAAACTTGATGTGGATTCAGCGTTTTGGCACAGGCCCGTGACAACAAATTGCCCAAAGTGTCCGCCAGCTCTGAGTTTAGTATGCGCAACGCCTTAACGTGACTGAAATCTGAAATGAGTAAAATATGTCAGCTATTCTGGAAAACTTTACAACTTCACTCTTGACTACACATGGGTCCAACATGGTGCATGAGTGATATTAATATATTGTCGGTTAGCTAAGCTCCGTTGGCAACCATTTAGCTTTTAAGCTGTAATAACACTGAGGCCTCCGGCTAAACTAGTTGCCCATTAAGGGGATTAAACCAACACAAATGACAAAAAAAGAATAAAAAGTTCTCGTCGGTTGTTGTCCGTTTTTAAAACTCTTACAAAAGCAAATGAGAGAACAGAAGTAAATAGAGATATGAATCCAAATTACTAAACGAAACCAAGGATTAAGGTAACCACTATGCACACAAGCATACCACTCAGCGGGCTTACAACAATAAAAATAAATCGCATTTAAAAAAACTGCAACAAATATTTTAAGCCTTTTAGTGTATCAAGGGATTTCAGAATGTCTGCTTGCGACAACATATGGGAGAAAATAAAACTCAGTATAAGCAGATATATAAGTGCGATAACATATCGAATTTTCTGTATATATACACAACTTCTTAAGATTAGCTTAGTCGAGCAAATAGAAAGGCACTTTGACAGACATCACAATATCATCTCGACTCTTATATCACTTTTATATTGTGTTACAAAAGTATTATTTTTATTATATAGCATCAAAGTACAGTATCATATAAGTGGCTAAAGAATAAATAATACTGATATTATTATTACTATATGGAAATACACTTACTATATTGCACAATTACTATATATAAAATATCAAATTATTCGCGTTTTTTTTACCGAATGCAATTGATCCGCTTTGCTGGTGGGATAATGCGCTTTGAAAAGCACTATAAAATAAATAAGCGGGCAGCAATTAGCAATGTGGGTGCAATATTTACCTTTAATAAATGAACTGCGCAGACAAAATACACAGCACATGCACATGTAGAAGGTCATTAGTAAGGGACCAGTGCTAATTGGCATTGGCCATAATTATTGACGTCATTATGCGGATAAATGCAACCAAATCGTTTCATTTATCTGCGTTGCCTAGAGTAATAAGCGGCATCAGTACCGATTTGGGACAGCCCACAAAATTTGGCGTCGATTTGGCATGCAACGTTAATTAAAATACTTGCTATGAAATTTGATTTCCATACAGCAGACCAGTCCAGAGGATGCACACAACAATGATCGATAATCAAGGATGGTCGTTGGGCAATTTTTGACTATTGTTGGGGCAACAATTGCGTTGCTAGTTGCCGCGTGGGATTTTTGGTAGCTTTGTTGTTATAGGTGTGTAATTAAAAACTTTTTGTTTGCTACACAAATTGCACCTGACATCCAATCATTTTCACACCGCATTTCGATATTTAATGGCCAAAATGCTGGCTTTACTGATTGGCGGTTGGTGGTGCTAATTTGTTTTGGCCATTGGAAAACATAATCATCATTGATTGAGTGACGCAATTCAAGTATATGAATTCATGCACCGCACGAATTTCAACCAAAAACAATTGTACTTGTTATTCAAATATGCATAAAACTTGACGTCGATTCACAGTGCTGTGGACTTGTATTTCCATGGCAAGAACCTGAGCACTGCACCGGAAGGTGAGCAGCTGTCGTGTGCTCCAAAAACAAATGCATATGCATGCCCATCGCATTTGCATATATATATATACAAATATACATAAGTGTGTGTGTGTGCTTTCATGCGACTTTTGGCGTAACCTGAGGTTTGGCAACGACAGGAGCTTTGGCCACGCAGCTGCAGCAACTAAATGTGCTGCCTGCTTCTGTGCGCTCCACATCATTAATGCAATTGTATTGACGCTGACGCTTGTCGGGCTCAACTGTGTGTGCAGCATTGCGGCACAGCTCTGTTCCCAAGTCAAGTTGGCAACTACTACTGAATTTGAATGCCGGCAACTACACACACCTAAATATATCTACATATATTTGTATGCAACAAGCTTCTAGTTGGGAAACAAACAAAAAAGCTGGTATAGCCTTTGCTTGAATGCGAGAATATCCTGTGGGATGGTTATTTGCTTTAGAAAAATATTGCGTAGAGAGATATAATGATTATTAAAAAAATACAAAAATCTCTCTAGCAACGAATGAAAAAATTGTAATGTTGAAATTATGCGCTTTTCTCTCTACATCGTTCTCTCTCGCTCAATTCTGCCATCTCTGTCTGGACATTAAATCAAAGTATCCTGTTATAAAAGTGTGTGAGACATTCTCATTCCAAGTTGATTATTACATATTTATGGAATTTGAACAAGTTTTGAACTGAGTTTCCAGCTGAGCTTCATTTGATTTTCGATGCCATCGGTTTTTTCTCCTCTTTTTGGCCAAAATCAAAGTCGTAATTGAAATGTACTTTGACAACGGCTTGCCCACTTTAATGCCGATGTGAGTTAGTTTTTAAACCAATCGTGAACATCTACATCAACTCACAGCCCAACATTTGCCATAATTGCAAACTCAATTGCAATCGTAATCAACATCTGCCATGTCTGTCGACCGGGTCGAGTCCTGTGAACTGCTTACGTGTGCAGCGACAAATTGCAGAAATGTTTTGGACTTAAGTACATGGACATGGAGCCGCATGTGCAATAGCATTCACCAAAAACAAGCGTAGTTTCGGCAAAGTTTTGCACAAGTTGCACAGGTGCAGGTGAGTGCCTCAGGAAATGGCGACTAGAGCGTAGACAAATGTTGGCACATAAACCAACGGAATTATATTTCGAACGTTGCTTATGCGCCTATTTGCTGACTCTGGCAACTTACAATTCTTTTAAATGACTTGTCACACTTGTCGTTTGTTTTTGCCTCTTGCACACAAAACTTCCGGCGCAATGCAAATGAAATTGCAAGCCAAGTTGCAGCAACTCTATGACACGAAACGGGTGTCGCAAGAAGTGCCAGTGGCAGCCTGACAACTGTCGGCGTCAAATATTTAAGCAATTTTACACCGCCCATAGAAAGCAAAGTCACCCAAAGGCATTCAGGGCCACGCTCACTTTTTGCCTTGTGGCATCTGCGTAGACGATGTGGGTTATTTCTCTAATTTTTGACTTTATGGCATCGTAACTCTTGAAGACATTTTACTTTAAGTGTATTTTTTAAAGCGGTATGCTCGCCTGGATGATACTCTGGGTACATAGACACAATAGGAAGGATATGGGTATATATAAAAAGCATAGGCAAAGCTTAATCAAATGTCGCTTACAGCCTGCTTCGCCTCCAAGTAGACCATAAGAATATTATTAATATATAAAAAGTATTCATTATTGAGTGTGAGAGTGCCTTTTACTTCATGGTACATTTCAATACGCCGTATTATAATTTTGTTAATGGGTACGTGGTATAAAAGACAGCGATTAGCAATAGACAAATAAAAAAAAAAAGAAGACACTTTACGGCACCATGTTTGAGGTAACGACTGAAGTTCAGAAAAAGAAAGCATTAAAACTCTATCTGGCAAATGGAGCAATGTGCACAAACATATGATGATAATGTATATAAAATTCTACATCTGAATCCCACACAGATGGTTGAAATTAGTCCTTTGATAGCTTGGCAAGTGCTTGCCGGGTATTTAAAGTGAATAATGCCGTTGGGAAATCGTGTCAGTGCTATTCACTGCTGCGCGTATTCTTTTTGTATTTCCATAAAAACTTTGAGCGCTTTCGCCCGGACACTTTGGACAAATGCAGTTCCAGTGTAACATCAGCCGGACAGCTCTGACATCTCTTACAGCGATGGTGGGCGAAAGTACGCCGGAGGCGACTGCAGACCCACCGATATGGTGCAATTTCAAAATTAAATTATTTGTTACGAAAAGTTGCTCACTTAATGATGTGGCCCATAATGCCGATGATGATGCTAGCCGTGGCCTCTGCTCCTGCTCTTCCTGGTACTGGTGCCACTCTTGATTATCGACGGTTATCGTCATAAAACTGCGCTCAAATTTTGTTAGCTGATGGAAGCGGATGTCACCAACCAGTGCCGTTGGGAATAAAACGTGGGCAGTGCACATCTATTGAAATGAATTTTGAAATGTGGCAGGCAAGTGTACAAGTGTATTTGTGTGAAAACATAATATGCGACGATAAGCATATTATGCACAGGCTGCATTGAAAATCAAATAAAAATGAAAAAATATCGACAACATTTTAAAATCCCACTCAAAAGTCTCGTAATTGAATCTTGTGCGCGCAGCGCAGTTGGTAATTTTCGCATATTTTCTGCTTTTTGTCTGCTGTTGTTCTTGTAATATGCGCAATATTAACGAGGCGCGTGCAAAATGCAATAAAAATGCAATTAAATTAGCCGCAAGGCAACAGGCCGTAAAAAGTAACAGGAACAGCAAGCCAGGGCATGAGCTCAGCTCAGCTACCAAAAACTGTAAGGCCAAATTAAATAAAGGTAAGGGCGTTGCCAGACATAAGCCAACAGGAGATGAGCAGGAGCAAGAGTCGGTAATAATTGAAAATTTGAAAATTAAATTTAAATTTCACACAAACAAAGCAGACGAAAAGCTATTAAGTTGGAGACTCAACAGCGGCCGTTTATGCAAATTCAATGGAGAAAAGGTTATGCTTGGAATCAATCAAATCGCATCAAATGTGGGCGTAACGAACAACAACAACAACAACAACAAAAACAACAAAAGCCCCTGAAATGTTCAAGTGTATTTTGATGACTTCTGGCAGTGCGTCGAAGCGTGTTAATTGCTTTTGGCCAAAATTCTGTGAGTGTGTCTGACAGCTCAGGCGCCTTTGAAAACAAAACAATTTGAATTAGTTTCTTGTTAAACAGCAGCAACGGTGTAACATTGAATGCATGCATGACTTGCTCACAAGCCGATAATAGATTAAAGATTAACTGTCCGCCTGTCGATGTAATCGTTAAGAGGACTGCTCTGCCACACAATAGCTCTGGCTTTAAGTGTGTTTATGTAAGTAGTGTCGGCTGAGGCAGCCAGCAAGCCAGGCAGCCAGGCAGCCAGGCGCCTGCTGTCCCTCGAAGGGCCAAACGACAAACTAATCATATCTGACAACAACCACTTGCATAAGCTTTAAAACTTTTGTCAGACTCTGGTATGCTGTCACAGAAACGAGACTACAACCGGCGGTGCTCTTATGCAAATGCGCAAATCTTAAACCAAGTTCAAGATACAAAAACTTTGCAACCAAATAAACAAAAGTCGGAGGGTTTGCCAACAGCAGCAGCAGCACCAGCAGCAGCAACAGCAACTCCTGCTTCTGCTCCTGGATCTGCGTTTACTTCTGCCAAACCAAAAGTTTCTTGCTGCTTTGGCATAAAATTGAAATGCAACTAAGGTACGAGGAAAACTAACGAAATCATCAAAGTGACGAAGGCGGACGTATTTGCATACAGATACACTCACACACTCGTGTGGGTCACAGCCCAGCGGGAGGTGTGGCTAACAGAGAGATGGACTGCAACCGCAGGGTTTTTTTTTATCCTACTGCCTAGCATATGGCAAACTCAATAGCAAAAAACAAATGGTACATAGACCAAAGAGGAAGTGCATTTCCTATAGATCGGATTACTTACTGCCATCGCTGTGTGCAACGCCCTCGCGCAACAGAAAGTAACGTAGTCCCTCCATTGTATACTGTTTGGCTGCCAGCACAGGATCAACAACGTTGTGCTTGCTCTTCGACATCTTCTGGCCGTCCACCGTCCAGTGCGAGTGGACGTATAGTTGCTGTGGTGGCGACAGGCCGGCTGCCAACAAAAAGGCTGGCCAATAAATGCCATGGAATTTGAGTATGTCCTTTCCAATGATTTGCTGCGCGGGTGGCCAGTAAGCTAAATACTACATAAGGGAATGAAGGAGGGAGATGTCTGTTGGCATGTGACAGATAAACAAGGAATGAATTTCAACTATTTACCTCCTCATTGGGATAGCCTAAGGAGCTGAGATAGTTGATGAGAGCATCTAGCCACACATACACTGTTTGGCTGTCATCATTCGGCACGGGTATCGCCCAGTGTACCCGATTCGCTGGACGAGAGACGGACACATCCGGCAGCGGCTCGCTCAGCGTATCGAGCAGAATCTTCTCGAACTTCGCTGGCCGCACGCGTGCCTCCTGCTTGACCCAATGACGCACATCGTCTTGAAAGTTTGACAGTCGAAACATGTAATTCGTTTCCTCAGTCCACTCGACAGGATGGCCTGACTCCAGGGAGTAGCGTGTGCCGCTGCTCTCGTCTAGGCGCAGCTGTGAGTCGGTCAGAAAGGTCTCATCCGATACGCAATACCAGCCGCTGTAGGCCGCCGAATAAATATGGCCACGTGACTTCAGCCTGTGCTAAAATGAAATCGAACATTAATTAATGGATTGATTAAGAGTTTCCGTTGAACCAACCCAGAAGTGTGCTACGGCCTGTTTGTGTCGCTGCTCGGTGGTGCGTATAAAGTCGTCGTGCGCTATACTTGCTGCTTTAAACACATCACGATAACGCGCCGATATCTCATCGCAATATTGATCCACGGGCACCTTGTGTCCAGCTGCCGCCTGTTGAATCTTCGTGCCGTGCTCATCGGTGCCGGTGCAGAGGCGCACTGTGGTTGTCGGATAACGCAGCCTCTGGTATCGGCAATGCGCATCAGCTATCACCGCCGAATACAGATGACCAATGTGTGGAGCTGAAAGATATCAAATCAAGTCGCCTTTAATTCGATTGTTATTTAACAATTGAGACTCAGATTGACCAACCTGCATTTACGTAAAATATCGGTGTTGTCACGTAGTGAGAACTGCTCCAACGTGCTCCCAACGCTTGTATATGCCTTATTTTACTAACAAACATTTTAAGCAAACTTTTAATTGATAACTGCACGCAGTTTGTATTTCAATAATATAAAAATAAATTGCCGGCTTGTTTTGTAGTGCGCAGCTGTTTGGCCAGTGTTGCCTATCGCCGCATGAATCAGCTGTTGTGTTTCGCCAACTTATGGGTATCACTGTCGCATTCTATACCAAAACTGTTACTTTTTCAAAATTGTTGTGCATCAGTGTTGTAAAACACAGCCACAAAGAGTTTCTGAAGTAATTTTACATCTGCTCGTCAGAAACTGATTAGCTTTCAAATCGAATAATGGTTCTGCCGAAATTGCAAAGACGCTTTAATGAGAATTTTTTTAATTGCATTCTGTTGCCAACAATAATAACAATGAATTAACAAATATATTAATAAGGAACTAAAAACTCAAGTCAATTGAACTTCTATTCTAAGGCGCCACCAGCAGATTGATCCATTTTCTTGGGCTGATACCATTGCTGATGAGAATGCGCCATGCGACGAGTTCTGGCAGCCTTCTGTTTGGCCTCGACTGCTGCACAGGCGGCTTTATAAGCAGCCTTCTTGGTCTTCTCAAAGTCCTGCTTGGCGTCCATGAGTTGTCGATTTAATCCCTCTACGCGATTCTTCGCCGCTTCCAGCAGCTGACTCTTCTCCGCCAGCTCCTGTTGTGCACCCGATGCGACGTTCTCAATATTACCCAGATTCGAGGTCGCTGCGCTCACCAAACGTTTCAATTGGGCGAGCTGAGCCTGTGCCTCGACGGCCGCCTGTGTCGCGGCATTGGCATTGGTCTGCGTATTCTGCAGGGAAGCAGTTATGTCGCCGACGACGGCATCCGCTTCGCTCATTTCCTGCTGAAGTTGCTCCACAATTTGCTGTTTGCCCGCCAGCGCCGCCTCTGCTGCACGAGCCGACTGCGCCGCCCTCTCGGCCAGCTCTGCTTTAACCTGAGATGCGGCGGCTTCGGCGGCGGCCATTTGTGCATCGCTGGCGGCCCTCGCCTCTTGCGCCGCCTTCTGTGCAATATTCGATGCCTTTGTCTTGGCGTCGCTCCTGTCCAGCATATGAGATCGAGAGGGGGACGAACAGCCATCTTCGGCACCTCCATCTCCATCAAAGTACAAACTGGCCATGCTCTGGCGCTTAACATCGCCAGCGCCAGATTTGCCGTAGCTGTAGCTATCCAAGCGAGCAATCGCCTGCAGAAATATGAGTAGGAGGAGTAGCACAGTCCGATACAGCATATTCCAAGCTATTCAGTTTTCACTTCAATCAAACCCATTCAGACAGTTGACGCAAGATTGACTATGTTCTCATGTCATCTTAGAACAATATTTTAGACTTGCTTTTGCCAACGTGCAATTCAAATATGAAATTTTCAAATTCATCCTAGCAAATATGAATCATACCAAAAATGCAAATTTATAGATACCCATAGTTTTAATAATTTTATTTATCATATACAAATACAATTTGTTCAATCCAAGAAGCGGCCTGCAGAGAGCAGAGTTGCCACACTATCAAAACTATTGATAGTTATTCCAGTTAAAGCTACATCTTATTTTGTAGGCGATCACATAAATCTTTCCCAACTGCAAGCATGTTTATTTATTTTCAATTTTGAGTAGTACTTTTATATAAAAGATACATTTCAGTGTGCATATTAATTGTAATATAAATAATTAACGAGAAACTAGCTAAGTCGAGCGGTGCGCCGTCGATTCCTTTGGGCTTTCTGTTTGGCCTCGACTGCTGCACAGGCTGCTTTATAGGCGGCCCTCTTGGTCTTCTCAAAGTCATCCTTGGCCGCAGCTAGCTGATGACCCAGGGTCTCCACGCGATTCTTGGCCGCCTCCAGCAGCTGCGTCTTCTCTGCCAGCTCCTGTTGCGCGCCATTTGCGACATTCTCGATATTAGCCAGACTTGAGGTTGATGCCTGCATCAGTTGCTTCAGTTTGTCGAGTTGGCTTCTGGCCTCCACGGCAGCATCGTTGGCTGCTGCTGCATTCGCCTGGGTGCTTTGTAGGGAGTTACTTACATCCTGAACAACCGCATCCGCCTCGCGGTGTTCCGCCTGCAATTGATCCATGATCTGCTGTTTGCCGGCTAGAGCTGCCTCGGCCGCTTTGGCGGACTGAAGTGCCTTCTCCGCTAGCTGTATTTTAACCTGGGATGCGGCTGCTTCAGCGGCTGCCATTTGTGCATCGTTTGCTGCCTTCGCCTCCTGCGCCGCTTTCTGTGCAATGTTCGAGGCTTTGACTTTGGGATCGGTTGTGCCCACCTGGTTGCCAATGTTGCAGCTCTTATTGCCTTCACAATCTAGCCCTCGTCCGCCATCAGGTTTGCCAGCTGCCTCACCCAGCCGCATCAGGTCGGAATAAGTGTCGAGTTCACGTTTGCTGTATGCCTATCAGCAAAGATAGATTCGATCGTATGCAAATTAGAGAGTAAAACTTACCTTGCCACGCTGACCAATGATGTAGCTTTGAGAGCTAAGCCCGATATTCACGATCAGAAATATAATAATATAGAACATTGTGTTAGCAGTTCTGAATTCATTGTTACAGCACGAAATCTGACTGTAAAATCTTTTCAAGTAAATATAATTTCTACGTTTTCAAAGTGCGTATGCAACTATTAACAAAGGGGTTTTAAATTAATAATTCCTCTTAAAAACCCTTGCAGAGGGATCATTACTTCAGATTAATGAATTCATTACTGTTTGATCTAAAAATCTAAAAGGTGTTTGGCAACTATTGCTTATAGTTGCGGCATAAATGAAAAGCTTCCGCATGGTCTGTGCAGGACATCCTGGCGAATAGATCAGTTCCTGCTCGGGCTATTCTGTTTACTCTGTTTATCGTCTGTGGATTTGACTGCAGCATGAGCGCAGCCCAATGGAGTACGTACTTGTGATTCTAATGCAGCACGTCATTTGAAAATATACAAGGACGCGTTAGCTCCTAGTTTCTATTAGACCATGTTCCCCCAAAAGCATGCAACAATCTTTTGCCTATGTAAAATGTAGTCAATGCAAAAATCTTAATTGAGTCAGATGTGTTTGCTTCTGTGTTACTGAATTCGAGTCCATTGTGCAACTCGCTTTATTGCTTAACTGTGAACATTTACTTTGGTAAAATCTCTATAAACAATCAATATATATATATAAATATATATAAATAAAATAAATCAAAAAATTTCAGTGTTATCAAAATAGTTGAACACATATTTCTGCTGCTGGTCAGCAGCTTAAATTCGGCGCCGATTCCTTTGGGCTTTCTGCTTGGCCTCGACTGCTGCACAGGCTGCTTTGTAGGCGGCTTTCTTGGTCTTGTCAAAGTCCTGCTTGGCCACTTCTAGCTGGTGTTCAAGGTTCGCAACTCGATTCTTAGCCGCCTCCAGCAGCTGTGTCTTCTCTGCCAGCTCCTGTTGTGCACCATTTGAAACATTATTAATGTTGGCCAGATTTGCGGCGGATGCCTGCACCAGTTGCTTGAGATGATTAAGCTGCCGTCTAGCTTCCTGGGCAGCTTCGTTGGCTGCTGCTGCATTCGCCTGGGTATTCTGTAACGAGCTGTTTACCTCCTGGACGACAGCCTGAGCTTCGCTGTACTCCGACTCAAACTGCTCTACGATCTGCTGCTTGCCGGCTAGAGCTGCCTCGGCCGCTCGAGCAGACTGAAGCGCCCTGTCCGCGAGCTCCACTTTCACTTGCGAAGCGGCTGCTTCAGCGGCTGCCATTTGTGCATCATTTGCTGCCTTCGCCTCGAGGGCCGCATTCTGTGCAATGTTCGAGGCTTTGGTTTTGGGATTGTTCTTGTCTAACAGATTGCCGGGGTTCTTGTTTTCACTACCCGCTTTATCTCCACAGTCTTTCTTGGCCCCATCATCGCATTGTAGAGAAATGTCGAGATTGCGTTTTCTGTTAACCTATTGCGTCTGCGTCTTGTAAAAGCATGATCGTATCTGATAGATATACTGACCTTTTCGTGTGACCTAATGAAATGGCTCTGGGATATACAACAGATGCAGAACAGCAGAAATAGAGAAATGTAGAGCATTGTGCTGATCCGTCCAAATTCATTGTTGAATCCACAACTGTCAAGCTGTGCTTTGCAAGCGTTTCAAGTCTGAAAGTTAAATCTTTAGATGAATACGAAAAATGAGACTGTACTTTAAAATCATGTGGCTTCTCATAATATTGTCTGTTACACAAATTGCAATCGCGTCGGCTTACTCCTCCCGGCGAGATCTGCAACGCGGAAAGCGATTGCTCTCCCCAGACTGTGATGGGGAGGGAGAAAAGTGTGCGTCCGGTTCTGGCCAGATGGACGACGTGGCACAGGAGAGACCCGGTTGCATGAAGATCAAAGCGAAGTCACGTACCACTGGAATCGCGATGAAAGCGGCTCAGGAAGCAAAGCAGGCCAACGACGACATGGTTAATGCGGTCAAAGTGGCATCAGATCGGATTAAGCTAGAGTACGCGGACAAGGCGTCCACTGCTGCCAAGGCGGCTGAGGCGGTGCTGGCTAGTAAGCAGCAGGTGCTGGAGCAGCTCGAAATGGAGGTGCGGGAGGCAGAGATTATCGTGCAGGAGGAGCTGCTAGAGCTGAGTTCAGCTGAAGCCAATAGCCAACTTGCACTGAAGGCCCACCAACAGGCCCAAGAAGAGACAAAGCTGCTCATCTCTGGATTAAAGCTGGCCAAAGAGAATTGTGCCAGTGCCGAACAGGTATCAACCGCATGCCAGCAGTCAATGGCTGTGAAGGCCAGTCTCCTGGAAGCAGCCCAGAAGCGCGTCGGTGTGCTCCTGCGGCAACTGAGCGAAGCACGTAACGACTACGCCAAGACCAAAAAGGCTGCCTACAGAGCAATGTGTGCGGCCAACGAAGCCAAGCAACGGATTAATCACACCAAACGCTGATAGAGAGGGCGACAAGGGACGACTTATTGATTAACCGTGTTGAGTTTAATTATTCATCTTTATACCACACGTGTTACCAACGTATATTTTTTGTTAACAATTTCTTCTTTGAATTAGAATCAAGACAAATTTCCAATTTTTGACGATTCTCAGCGAGCGTTGTATAGTAATAAAATGGAACACTTCGAGCAATAATAGTTATTTGATGATAGACAATTGAAACAACAACAATTAAAATAATTTATTCTGTAGTTTATTAAACTTTTTTCTTTAGGGAATAAAAATATAAAATTCCTTGACAACGGGCAAAAAGTGCGCGTGTCTGAATGGCTGCCAAAAATGCTGTGGAACTTTGCCTGTACATTCGTATGCTTGCTAGCTTTTGTGTGATTCCAAACCGAACTATGTAAGTATATATAGATAATGATGGTTGATTTCTCCAACCAATTTTGACAAATACAAATCGAGCTAACTGTAGGCTTAACCGAATCAAGATGCAGTAAAACTAATAGAATACAAGGGAGCTGCTTAATAAATAAGAATTACTTTAAAAAGCCGGCAATAAGAGGCTGACGTTACGAACAAGAAAAAAAAAATAAGAAAAGAAGACAATTGTACACAATTAGCTTAATCATAAATTTAGAACACAATGTTGAAGCAATTACAAACGAATTATACAATTTACATGGACACATTTTTTAAAATCATTACAAATAATAAAAATAGAATTATTTCACACGAATACGTGCAATTATTAAAAACTAAAAATATGCATTTGTGTTTTTGCTTCTTTACAATTAAATTGGGGGCTGTCTGTTCACAAAATAATTTCAAATGTGATGCTTAGTTACTTGTTGGTTACCCAATACTTTCATACATATGTATGCGTGTACAAATGTGTGTGTGTGTGTGTGTATGTGTTTATGTGTGCGTGTGTGTGTATGTACTTTTGAATATATTAGGTTAGGCCAGTGGATTATTATTTGTAATAGTTAGTTAGTTCAATTGCAACAAACGTAAATACTCAATTTGCATGTGTGCATAATTCTACATAAAATAGTTTCATCTGTTTTGTTAATATATATGTATATATTTATTTTTTTTAGAGATTTGTTGCGCCTTACGAATTATTAATTAATTAATTACCTAACGCTTTTGTTGTGAAGCCTTCTAAATATTTACAATCTAACACAAGCCCCTGTAAATAATCATTGAATGGTTGCCCATCGATTTGGCCATAAGTGGGTTGATAAACTGACCAAACCGATAACGGTATTAGTTACATACAATATTATATATATATATATAAATATATATATACATATGTGTGTATATATATTCATACACATATATATTTATATTGTTAATCTTGATCTTATGATTTGCAACATACTCATGCCTAGATTAATTATGTTAATATAGAATCTGTCAAGCCTTAATATACTGAATTTCATATATGGTAGCTAATACATATGTATATATAATGCATAATTTAAACATATTTCATATACAGTTAAACCATCTTCGCTGAATACTGAAATCATCGAGTTTTCCCATTTTGTTTTCTTGTTTTTATATAAGTGTGTATGTATGGTGTGTTTGTGTTTGGTGTGTGGTGTGTTTGTGTGTGTTTGCAAGTGTAAGTCTGCGTATTAATGTATATCGAACAGGTTATATCAATGGGTTTGCCATATATGTGGGAATCCTATATGAGCACGTTGCATAATATTGAATTTATATATATATATATATATACATATATATATATGTGTGTGTGTGTGTGTATTTATAGGATATATAGCATATAATATCAACGTTTTAACTCTTACATTTACAACTGTTGCATCTAGCGTCTACTTAAAATGTATGCTATCAAATGAAAATGTATCACGATTGACCAAAAATTAGATCGATATAACCGTTAACTACACATGTTTCTTTTAGCTGTTTCTGCCTGTGTTTTCACATTGAGTATGTTCGGGGACCTTTCCCCATTTTTCTGTTAATTTGAAGTCCTGTTTAGTTTAAGTACTTGCGGCAGCGCTTCGAGCCGCAGGAACAGGGAATTTTCTCATCCTCGAATGGGAACTTGTAGTCATAGGTTAACTCTTCGCCCTGCACGATGCGTCGCAGGGCAAAGATGATGATGTGCTTGTGGCCAAGTATATCAACGACCTTCGAGTAGCAATTCGGCTGTGAAAGGTAAACATGAAATAAGTAAAAGAAATACGAAATTCGAAGCTAAACTTAAATGTCGTTTACTCACCTCACAGGAGTGATTGATAAAACGAGCCGCATTGCCACGCATCGTGGCATCCACCACGAGATTGTCGTCGATCTTGAACATGTAGCAGCCAATGCCACGGCTGTCGTAATAGCGCTCCCGCTTATCCGTCAGCGTGGAGCGTATCAGCTCGCCAGCGTACTCTATAACCATTTCACCTGTGTACAAGAATTGAATAATTAAACTTTGTTTCGAAAAGCGGAAAAGCAAGAAGGTAGAATTCACATATATATACACAATTGCAGACTATGCTTTATAATATTGTTTAGTTGATATATCTATGATATTTCAACATGGTCAACTCCTTCACTTGATCGGGAATATATGCGTACACAGGGGCTACAAATTTCAACACAGCTTACCCGCTTCAATGTCTTTGGTGCAGTAGAGACCGCGTCCATGGATATGGGAACGAAAGACTCCGACGTAATCCTTGTAGGTCTCCTTCAGCGTACGGTACTTCATTGCCATGGGCAGATTGCTGCCAGTTCCGCGTCTGTAAGCCAAAAAGATCGCTGAGTAAAGCTTTTGGAGCAGTCAAAAGGATGTTGATGACTCACCTGGGCACCAGTTCATTATCGGATGGCTGGACAAAGACCTGAATGGGCTGCTTGCGATGCCTGGACGCAAGCCAGCTAAACATATCGTATTCGGAGCGAGTGCTATACGGTTCGCAGCGTGCGCTCTCATAAGCGTTCTCCTGCAGCTCCTCCTGATCTGAGCCGTAATCCATTAGCGCCTGCGCATCAGCTCCTGCACCAAGTGCAGCCGCATTGCTGCCAGCACTGCTGGCGGCATGGCCAGCCGCCGTGGAGACGTTGCCGTTGCGCTTATGATACTTGGGCGTATACTTGGCGCACTTCTCCACGCCCGGCAGCTGCTCAATGAGGTATTTGAGGGCGTTCGTCTTCAGGCCAATCATTTGCACGCCACTCATGTCGGCTAGGGGGCCCTCGGGCAGGGGAGTGAGACCATGAGCACGTCGTGCCACCTGCACTGCCTCGAACACCTTCTCCCAGATCTCAGCAATGGAGCTGGACTTGTAGGTAAAGCCATCCTCACTTTGTATCTCGTACAACAAATGTGGCCCGCTTATCCTCTTTGGGTCCCGCATCGGCATCGGCGGCTGCTGGGGAGCAGCTGCTGTCGGCACCTCATTGGCAGCGACTGTCTCTGGTTGCTGCTGTTGTTGTGACGCGTCGTCTAATTTGGGTTTCTTCAGTTCGAGTACAACGCCTGCCTGCAGTTGCTTCAATTGCAGCTCATGTGCCTCGGCCATTTCGTTAATGTAGCTGGCAGCGGCCTCAACGGCAGCGGTCTCTTCGGCGGTGGCTGCAAAGGCATCATCGTCCGTGGGCACTTCCCCACCAGCTCCGGTTGTCGCCAGCACATCGTCCACCATCTGCTGATAGCCGGCGCCGGCCTCGACAGTGGTCGCTGTTGCTATTGAGTCAGCGCAATCATCGTTCGTTAGGTTGTCGAGAATTTTGCTTATCTTCTCTTTGACGGCCGGCTCTTCGCTGTCGGACATTTCGTGATCGTTGCATGCGGATGTAGCCATTTCGAGGCTGAAGTCATCGTCGTCATCCTCATCATCCTCGCCTTCATCGGCCTGGCTGAGCGGCTCATTGCTGCCATTCTTGAGATTGGCATAGTGATCCTCGGTATCCATGGCCACAGCTTCGACATGGAAGCCATGTTTCTCCAGCAGACAATTCTCATTCGAGGTCAACTGAAAGCCATTCTCTACTAGCTCCATATGTTGCTGCTGCTGCTGTTGTTGTTGCTGTTGGCACGTTGTGGCTTCGATAAGCATTAGATCATTGCTTTTGGGTTTGTCTTGCAGCTGCAACGGTTCCTCTGCCTGTTTCTCATACAGATTCTCGTTGTAGATGGGCTCATGTTGCAGCTGTTGCACCTGCAGATTAGATAATACATTCGTCTGCACCAGGTTATCCAGCGTTGTGTTGTTGTTCTTCAGCTCAATCTCGTAGCTGGGTGACTTTTGCTCCAGTTGAGCATAACATTTGACGACAGCTTTCTGCGTGGATGCCCCCGCGGCTACCGGCTCCTCGATGGGCTTGGGTGGCGTTGGCGACTGCACCACAACATCGCTGTCAAGGGGCACCGGCTCCTGACGCTGCTGCATGGGCAGCACCCGATTCGTGGGTCGACTGTTGATCGTTATATTGTTCGGAGGCGGTACTACAGTGGTGGTGCCACTGTTGGCACTAACCACCAGCGGCTGCTGCTGCAACGGATTCACCACATTGGTAGGCAGCGAATTGCTGGCATAATGCTGTAATCGACTTGCACTCCCATTAACGAGCAGCTCCGCCGGCTGCTGCTGCAACTGTTGCTGCGACTGTTGCTGCAACTGTTGTTGCGTCTGCTGCTCCAACAGCTGCACAGCTTGAGCCTGTACCGCTGGCGTTATCACAAACTGAGCGGTTGCTTGTGGCTCGGCTGTATTTACAATGCTGAGGACTGGCTGCTGGGCAGCAACTGGCAACAATTGTGGCGCTGGCAACGGTTGTTGTTGTTGTGGCAGGGACTGCAAAGGCTGATGCTGCTGCTGTTGTTGTTGCAGTTGCTGTTGCGCCTGGATTTGCTGTTGCAGTTGTTGTTGTTGCTGCTGGAGTTGCTGTTGCGGTGCAGGCAATCGCTGTTGCAGCAGCGCCACCTTTGGCACCTGACTTGCCACTGATGGTTGTAGTTGCTGCTGCTGCAATGCTGCTGCTGTCGTTGGCAACTTGGTCGCCGGCTTCATGACCTTCGGTTTCACCTCCACCTTGTGTATGGGCCGTATAAGATTAGTTTTCTTCTGCAGCGGCTTCGATGCAATGCTTGGCGGTGCACCACATGTGGTGCCCGTTTGCTGCACATGCGTTTGCGCTGCCTGCTGCTGCTGCTGTTTGTTCTTCAGCTCGTTCGTCTGCAGCTGCTGGCGCTGGAACTGTGCTTGCAACTTCAGATTGTTTAGCTGCTGCTTCTGCTGCGTCTGCTGATGCTGCTGCTGATGTGTGGGCAGCACCTTGTTGACCACCTGAGAGTGCTGCTGTTGCTGCTGATGCGGCTGCACCTTGCTCAGCACCGATATAGGCGTCTTGGTGGCAGCATTTGCATTGCGCTTCAGCTGCGCCACCGGTGGAACTTTTGCTGTGACTACCATTGGTGGTGCCCCATAATCCGACATGGTCGGCTGACTGGACGAGACGGGCGTCGTTTGAAACTGAAAGCCAGCATTCTGCAGCATCTGTGTGGTGGCATCATCCGTCGCCGTCTGCGATTGAGTCTGCTGCAATACGCTGGCCGCCGCGTTCAAATAGGTGCCCGCATGTCCGCTCGCATCGACCGTATTGTTGAGCACCACATAGCCGGCGGGCAAGTCGACAATCGGCTCGATTTTGCTTGCCTGGAACACTTGCGTTGTCGTCGCCGAAAAGCTGGCATTCTGGCTGAGCACACCGGGCATGGCCGACGACACGAATTGCTGCGATGACATAACCGTATTCTGAACAATTGTCTCCAATCCATAATACATGGGCTGCGTGGCCAATATGACTTGCGGCGTGGCTGTGGCAAATTCCAGCCCAGTTGCACCACCAGCTCCATTTCCACCCAAAATTAGCGGCTGCTGCGTTGTCGCGCTCTGCGTTCCATCTGCACCCGTGGTGGTCAACTGTAGTGTCTGCGGCTGAATCAGCGTACCAATAACTTGCGGCTGCGTCTGCAGCTGACCCGTTAGCATCTGCAGACCAGAATTGCTCGGTGCAGTGGTTAGCACAAGATTGCCGCTGGCATCCGTTTGCAGAAATGTCGCACCACCGCCGGGTGCAGCTGTTAAGAAGGTCGGCGTCGTCGTCTGCTGCTGCGGCTTAAAGTCGTTTGTCGTTGGAATCGAGATGTACTGCAGCGGCTGATTCTGGCTGCCATCGCCCGTCACAAATGAGATGATATTCTGCGCCTGGGTCTGTGGCAACAGCAGCTGTTGCGCTTGTGGGTGGGCATTGCTCTGGAAGAGCAACTGTGGCTGCAACAGATTCTGGCCAAGTAGCTGTGTGGCTCCATTGGTTGCCACTGTAATCGGGGTGTGTTGTTGTTGTTGTTGGTGCTGTTGTTGCTGTTGATGATGATGTTGCTGCTGCTGCGGGTGTGGCTGCAATTTAGCCTGAATAGGTTTGACGCCATGTGCGGATTTTAATTGCTTCTGCTTGGCAGCAGCAGTCGCCTGTTGCGCCGCCTTGGTGGCCACCGTCTTGAGCGGCTTCCCAGTGCCCCGCAACGGCAACACAATCTTCTTATCACTGTTGGTCGCCTGCAGTGTCTGGTATGTGGTCGTCGTTGCTAACGTTGGCGCCGCCGTCTGGAATTGTGTCGCTCCCGCAGTGCTTTGTGGCAATTGGATGAACTGTTGCGTTCCATCCGGATTTGTGGAGAGCGCAATTAACTGGGGCTGCGCTTGCGTCGGCTGTGCCAGAGTGAAGCCCCCACCCAGATTGGCGGCCAAGCTCTGCAGTGAGTTCGCATATAGTTGCAGTTCGTCGTTGCCATTGCTGGTGGCCGGAGCAGCATTTGGATGTGATAGAAAGAAACCATTGCCCAAGGACTGCGGCTGCAATTGAAGCGCTTGCAAACCCTGCAGTCCCTGCACACCAAACTGCCCCAATGTGGCCAGATTCTGGACTTGGGGAAACGATGTCTGCAGATAGTTGAGGCCACCTCCATTGGTCAATGTGGCGGCCGCCAGTGCCTGCTTCTGCAGCTCATTGAGGCTCTCGGCACTAAGTTGAGTAGCGGCGGCGGCAGTTGTTGTCTCCGATTCGGATTCACTGGTGGACATGGGCTCACAGCTGGGCAGATGGCGCTGGAAGGAGTCATAGTTGCGATAGGTGCACTGGCAACGCTCACACTTCACCTGGCCCGTAAACTGTGCCGTCGACAGATTGCCATCGCCGCCAATGATGCGATACTCGGTAATCGAGTCATCCACGCCATCCATTTGCATGATCTTCAGCTTGGCGGGCTCATCGCGGGACTCGCTCTTCTCAAAGTAACGCTTTGCCGCACTCCACGTAAAGCTCTTGGTGCGCATGCCAGCGCTGGCGTCGGTTGAGATTTCGCCATTGCTACTGCTGCAGACGGACTGACGTCGCGTGATGCCGGCCACTGTGGCCATTTCCTTTTTGCTACGCTGGTTGAGGCTGAGGAGGACGCCCTCGGTCAGATTCTTGGAGAGTTTGCGTCGTTTAAGGGCCGCCACACTGCTGCCATCTAATTTGGCCCAGGAGCGGGTCGGAGCTGTGGCTTTGCTCTTCAGCTGCTTGGCCTGATTAGAGCTGCGCGCGGCTGAGAGCATGGCATCCTCGACTGGATTGCTGGCTGGCCAGCAATTGCTCAGCTCCAGCTGTTTGCTCAGGCTATTCGAATTGCGTGTGTCCTCGTCACAGATGGTGACTGAAGCGCTGCCCGCTGCTTGGGTCAAGCTGGGTGTTGTGCCATCCTTGGACTGTTCGCTCATCGCGAATTCAGTCTTGTCCAGATCCTCGTACATGAATATGTCCAGCATGGAGATGCCGTCGAGCAGCTCATGCGGCAAATCCTCAAATATCGCATCCTTAATCTCTGGCGGCAATAGATCGGCATTCTGCTGCGGTTCTTCCTCCGTATTCTCATCGGGCGGCACATACGAATTGGGAAACTCGGCCCAATCTGACTCGAGGAGATCGCTGCGCGCTAAGCTACCATGCCATTTGGCTATCTGCGCCAGACCCAGCTGCACCAGCGAGCAATTGGGATTACTGTGATCCACGGTAAAATTGCGACCAGCATCCAGTGTCAGTGTGGTGGAGTAACTATTCTGTATGGTGGTGCGCACCGTGTACTCCACAATTTTCCAGGGCTCCTTCGATGACCAGTAGAGGCGACTGCACAGAAAATTGATCGGCACAATGGCCTCAAACGAGTCCGAGAATCGTGGCACAATCGAACCCAATTGTCGCACCTCCAGCGAACCAATGTGAAACTGCACCTTCGCCGGCTCAATCAGTTTCTTGCGCTTGCGATCAAGTTCCACGTAGACGGGACGCGACACCTCAAAGTTCGATTCATAGGTGACGCTGGGCGACCCGTTCGCTTTGAGGGCATTGCGTGCGTGTGCCGGACAATAGATGGACTTGTCAGTGAGGAAGGCGCAATCGATGCTCCGCGCACAGGGATAATGATAGTGCTCACCGCACGACTTGACATTGCAGCCAACTGTGGCGCCACGATTCCCACAAACGGTGCACTTAATCATGCGTCCGCGCGCCACAGCACTGTGCACGTTCTGCAGTGATCCATCGATCTCCTCGAACACCTCGGCGGACCACATGGCACAGTTTGTGTGCACCCAGCAGTCGTGACCGCAATAGAGCAGACGCGCCTCCTCACTGGAGAGACCCTCGCCGCTCTTGCGGCAGAAGAGGCAGACGCGCGAATCGAGACGGGTTTTCAGCGCACAGCCACTGCCCAGATCATCCACATCATCCAGCGGTATGTCGAGGACGCCAACACGAGGAGGTTGAGATGCCGCATGCTCCTGGGCATAGGTGGATGGTGACTCCTCCAGTTCCTCGTAGCCGCACGACTCAAACATGTCTTCCTCGAGTGCATCGGTGCAGGCCTTCGTTTCGTTCTGGAACCAAGGAAACTGCTCACTCAGCAGCTCCTTGTAGGCAATGTCCAGTTCATCACAGTTGCTCTGCTGTATCACCTGGCTCATGTCGTAGTTGAATTCCGCCAGTGATACGTACGCATTACCGGCGATCTTCTGCTTGATATCGACCAGGCTAAACGAATGCGATTGTGTCACCGGCTGCAGGCAGCTGCATGGCACTGGCGTTGTTGGCTTGGGATTGGCTTGCGATTGCTGCTCCTTGAACTCGTAGACATCGTCACTGTTCTGTGACTCACCATCGCTCCCGAGACCATTGTAGTTGAACTGCAGTGCCTTCGGCTGCAACTTGCCCTGGCTCTGAGTCTTGGCCGCGCCAGCCGCGCAACTGCAGCGCAATTTCTTGCGCGGACTGAGCTTGAGCAGGGCGCACGCCTGCCGCGACTTGCTGAGCAGCTTCAGCACACTGTACAGGCTCGACTTGAACTCCTCCATGACGGCCTGTCGCCACTCTTCTGCCTTGTTGCGTGAGACATCGCAGCGTCTTGCACACTTCTTGCATATAAACTCAATGGACTCGGGCAGAGTGCTGAGCAGATTGTATTGCTCATCGCTGAGACCTTCGCATTTGGAGTGCACCCATTGATTGCAATCGCCGCACTCCATCATCTTTAGATCAAAATCGTTGTCGTCGTAGCACTTTTGACAGATTGGACAGAAGTTTCCCTTCTTGCGCAACTTAAAGCAGGCGGTGCACATGGGCAGATTGCCAACGAACTTGGACACCTTGGTGGTGGCGCACGATTTGCACTTGAGACAATTGACACAGATGAGCGGACGATCGGCGCCGAGGAGACGTTTGCTGGTGCCCAGACATGTGCTGTGATAGTTCTTCTGGCACTTTTGACACTTCACTTTCGATCCGGACGACATGTTGCACGTGTAGCAGACGGTGCACCGTGGACACAGCCAGTTCAGACGCTGCGTCAGCTGAGTCAGCGCTGTATTTGTGATAGCCGAAATGCTGCTCGTCTCGAGCAGACTGTTCATCAGTGTGTCGTCAAAGGAGCTGTGCTTCAGATTGTACTCGTCCAGCACACAATACTGATGGTAGGGCTCACAGCAGCAAGCACAGAAGATGAGCGGATCCAGCCCCGTCGAGCCGCACAGAAAGCAGAGCGCACGCTGTGCCACAGTCTCTGTGACGATCAGTCCAAAGCCCGTTTGGCATACCTCAGCCGGATCATAGTTCTCCCAGAAGTCTGTCGATATCAGGGCCTTTAATCGGTTCACCTCCTTGGCTAAAGCACGGCGACTTTGTGCCGCTGTCGCCTGATTTCCCGCATTACTGCTGGCTTCGATATTTCGCTGCTTCTTGCTGGCCACTAGTCCGTTGGCGGATGACGACACTGATGATGTCGCATTGCGTGTGGACACCTTGCCCTTGGATGCTCCTGCTCCTGCTGTAGCTGCTGCCTTTTTAGCCTCTGATTGGTTGGTATTTGATTTGTTGCTCTTTGATTCCAGCACGCCTTTTACAACTGGCTGAGGCTGTGCCTCGGCTGTGTCTCCACTTGGCACCGGCTTGCATGTGGCACAGTTGTCGTTCTCATCGGTAACCATCATTTGCACAGGCAATGGCGACTTCGGTTTCTTCGGGTTTGTCACCTCTGGTGGTGTCGCATTAGTTGTAGTTGTTGCTGTTTGCACAGACTCAACCGCTGCCAACTCATCATCCTCGTCGCCAAAAGTGGCCAGCGGTTGACCCAGCACAATGGATGCACTGCGGCACACATGCTTCACACGCGGACCCTTCAAATCGATACGTTGCCGCTTCAAGTTATCTGGCACCGTTGATGTGGATGTTGAGGCCACCACCTCGGCAGCCTCCACTTGATTGATGCTTGCGGCAGCAGTTGAACTAGTCTGTGACGGAGGCGGCGCTGCAATTGCTGCCGTTGTTTGTGGTTCATCCTTTTGAGTCTCTTGGGTAGTCGCCGCATCAATCGCCTTTTTGGCACTGGGACTGAGCAATTTTTCACTTTCCTGCTCCCTGGACGCTTTCTCCTTGTCCTGTTTGGCCTTGCGTGTGATTTTAGCTGGTGCAGCTGCTTCATTGCTGCTGGCCACAGCAGTTTGACCAACAGCAGTCTCCGCAGCAGCACCAATTTTAGACTCTTTGGTTTTCTTCGTATCGCCGACAGCGTTACCGATTTTCAAGAACAACGGCTTTTCGAGTATGGCTGGGCGCAGTATCGGTGTGCTGCCAAAGGTGACATTGTTCTCGGCCAACGGATTCGATTTAATGGAGCTCACTGTTGTCTCCGCACTGGATTTCCACTTGATGGTCGTACCACCCACAGAAGAGGATACAGCGACAGTCGGCGCTGAGAAACGCAAACTAGCCGTTGGCGATAGCAGCTCGGGGCATCCTTTATCATCCTTGCCGGCAGCCTCATCGCGCATGTTGGCTGGTAGTATGGCACTCATGCGACTTCTGTGCGCCGTGGGTAGCTGAAATGCTGTCAGGCATTTCTTCAACCAACATGCCGTGCAGCGCTCCTTGTACAATTTCTTGAAGTTCTTCAGCTGGCTTTTGAGCGATTGTATATTACAGCTGCCACCGGTGTCTGAAAACCAAATAACAAAATTATTCAAAGTACAAATCTCAATTACACATTACAAGCAGTGCTCACCATCTGTGCCCTTGCACTGTACTTGCTGACTGGTTAACGCTGCATTTGAGCTGGAGCTGGAGCTCGAGTGCATGGCCGTTGATGATTTCGATATTTTTGTCATTCTGGAGATGAACTTGCGACAGACTTCACAAGCAATTACGCCGAACTTGCGTGCCAATGGCGCATCCTTGTTACTAACGGGCGTGCCGCAAACCACACAGGACATGGCCACAACTAAAAGAAGAACAACAAAAAAAGGAGATGAGCAGGGTATTCAACTGGAACACTAACTAGATAATCAACGTACCTGAATTGGCATTGTTGAGCGAGCCAAATGACATTTGAACATTTGCTGGCGCAATGGCACTGGAGACTGTGGGCAGGCCCGCAAATGAGACGCTCTTATCCAATGGAAATTGTAGGCGCGACTGGCGCAGCACAAAGCTGCTGTTGTTGAGCTTAGCGGTGCCAAAGTTGGGAAACGACGTTGAGGATGAGCTAGACGTCGATACGGGGGCGGTGGCGGTGGCTGTGTCGCCAGAAAAGTCACCACCCAGGCCAAAGTAATTCTTGGGCTTTGCTTTGACACCGGCATCATTGGAGTTCTTCTTGCTGCTAAGGCTGCCCAACTCCAATAGCCGTTTATTGGGCTTAACGATGCGCGAAGATCGCGTGCGCGTTGGTGGCACAGTGGACTTATCCACTTCCAGTTGCCTATCGTCGACGTCCATTTCATTAACGCTTGCAGCGGGTTCGGCGCTCTTCTCAGAGACTGCCTCATCATTGTCCTCCATGTCGTCTTCGTCCATATCATCATCATCCTCAATGTCATCGCTGCTTGCCGAGCTACAAAAATAAATTATATTTAATATAAATATAAATTTTGTTATATTTTATATGGATATTTTCAATTATTTTACACATTTCGAATGATGAACACTCCAAAATATGCGGGATAACTATTTCAATCGTTCGGAAACTAATTGTAATTTAATATAAGGGAGAAACTTTTAAAAACTGCTGCATACTTTAAGGCTGACAGCAAACTAGTTTTAATTGGAGGAGGCTTGTATATTAAATTATTAATTATGACTTACCCATCATCTTCGTTGTCATCGGATGCCTTTTGCTGGGGCTCATGCTTGCGAAATGTGACACCGCCAGAGACGGCATCCTCATCGGCCAGTGGTGCGCCAAAAGCGCGCGATAGGCCAGAGCCAAAGAGGCTCATTGAGCTGGAATCCTGTATCGATGAGGAGCTAGAGGATGCCATCGCCACAGGCACTGAGCGAAACTTCAGCGAGTTGAGCTTGTCGATGTTGGAGTAAGTATTGAGTATCTTGGACAGTTTGGAGGGACGCACAATGAACTCGCTGCCCCTGCAATAGTTGAGCGGTCGATTCATGCTATCCTTCTTCATGATGGAGACGAGCGGCACCCGATTATCCGGATTGTAAAAACGCTTGACCACCGACTTGTCATCGCTGGTCTCCAGTATGTTCTTGAAGGTGACAGTTTTCTTTTGCTTGATCGCCGTCGCTGGCGGCTGTGTCCCTGTGGCAGCACTAATCGTCGAGGCCGCCACACTGTTTGGATTGGGACTGGGGACAACAGCAGCGGTGGCGGTGGAAGCGTCGACGGCTGCTTCCGTTGCCGTCTCATTGGCCATTTCGATTGATGGCTTTAACTGCAAAATCGTAAACACGACTGGTTAGTCATAAAAGTTCCACTCGAAGCCCAATCAATAATGCATGCCAAGAAGTAACTAAATACATACGTAGATGGATGCATGCTCGTAAAAACTAAGAAGCATGCAAAGCAAAGCAAAATAAACTTAAAGCAAAACAAAGCAGGGCATGGGCATGGAATACACGGCAGCAGCAAAGCAAGGGTGGCAAGGGAGGTGGCAAGAGAGGTAGGCAGGGAGCAAGTGCAAGTTTTGGGGGAAAAAACGAGTTATGTGCAGGTACAGGTAAGCAGAAAGACAGGCAGGGTAAAGCGCGAAAACGTCATAAAAGCCAATTAAGCAGGTAAGCGAGCAAACACTGGCAATAGGCAAGGGCAAAGGCAGGGGAAGAGGCAAAGGAAAAAGGCTGGGGCAGAGGACGAGGCAGACAGGCAGGCTAGGGTAAGCGGCAGTCAGTTAGTTAGTAAGCGGGCAGCAGGTAAACAACAAGCATAAGTCGGGGCGCATATTTTAGCGCCCGACTCTTGACGGGGTTCTTATTTACATTGGCTAAAAAATAACATACACATATATTAAAAAAATGAGGGAAGGAAGAAAAAAACCAAGAGCTGAAATGGGGCAGGGTGGTAAGCAAATAACACGCAACACAAAAGCCGAGGCACACAAAAATCACTGAGGAAAATCGGCTTTAACTTATATTTATACACATAATGTATAGTTAACATACATGTATTTTGTTGTTGTTGCATTTTTTTGTTTGTGTGTAGAGTACAACAACATGGGGCTAGGCTAAATAAATCTACTTACCATTGCAGCGTCTTCGTTGCCAGCGCCCGTTGCCTCCTCGGCCACATTTGACTCGACGACGACGGCGCTGGCAAAGGGGTTCGTCAGCAGACCAGCAGCTGCGCCTCCCCCGCCCCCAGCAGCCGCAGCAGCAACTGCTGGCATCGACAGCGACAATGACGTTGAGGTCGACGTCGCTGCCAGCGTTGCACTCGCACTCGCTATAGTTGCTGCTGTTGTTGTCGTTGTCGTAGGAGCAGCAACAGCAGCAGCAGCAGTTGACGATGAGGATGATGAAGGGCAATTAAGTTGCAATTGTTGTTGTTGCTTGAGTTTCGACGTTGAGGGCAACATCACCTCCGCTCTGGCCAGATTCAAGTTTTTGAATTTTTTATTGCCTCCTTTGCGTGCACGCTGCAACGCACTGAGGCATTGAGGCACAAGGGCGACAGCAGCAGCTGCTGTTGTTGTTGTTGCTGTTGTTGTTCTCTTGTCATTGGTGCTGCTGTCATCGTCGTCATCGTTGTTCGTGTCCTCGGCGGCATCATCGGGCCCGGAGGCAGCATTGCTGTTGTTAAGCTCGATATTGTTGCCTTGATTTTTGCATTCCTTGACCTCCGATGTGGCGCTCTTATGATGACTGCCACCATTTACATTGCCGCCATTTGTTGTACCGCCTCCGCTTCCGCCCCCGCCCCCGCCGCCACCTGATCCACCCGATCCTGCTCCTGCACCATTGCCGGCAGTGTCGGCCGCAGCGCCACTGGTTGCACCACTGGTCGCCGCGCCACTCGACGCATTATCATCGTCATCGTTATCACAATTGTTGCCTTTGTCGCGCGACGCGGAGTCTGTACTCTGTTCGCCCTGCTGATGCTGCTGCGCTGCCGATGATGCGGCATCATCCTCCAATTGTAGGACACTTATCCGCTTACGATTAATCGACTTGGATGGTTTCCCGGGGAACTTGGAGCGGCCCATAATATACGCACTTGCTGATCTTTGATTCTTTGCATTTGCATTTGCACTTGCATTGGCAAATCCTTGTTGCTGTTCTTGTTGATTTGATTTGATTTGATTGGTTGGTTTGTGATTTTTTTTTTTGCTGCTACAAACTTTCCTTGCTGCTAGAAAAAAAAAAAACAAAAAGCCAAAAACATTCACGTGAGCCCAAAAGACCGGTATTAGCAACAAAAGCAGCAGCAGCAACAGCAGTGGCAGTGGTAATAACAACAATGTCTGTAAACCGAACCACGTTTGGAATGCGTCAATTTCCCCCTTAAGCGCGCGCACACACACACACACACTTACACAACCAATACAAAGCCCCTTTGGCTGTAGTTGTTGCTGTGGTTACCAATTCCACTCCACACTCCAGTCCCCCCCCTGCTCCTTTACACCCCACACACTCTCGGCACTCAACGCTTCGCGACTCGTTTTGTTAGTTCGTTCCTTTATTACTTTTTTTTTGTTTTTTGTTGTTTAGCTCGTTTTCGCGCGCGTTCCTCGCTCCTTGCTTTGCAAATTACAACTACTAAAGCCGAATGGCCGAAGGTGACGTCGCAACGCGCGTCAGCCGCATTCGTTAGCTTCGTTGTTTTTTTCTTCTTCTTTTTTTCTTGCGCTCTCTCTGGCGCTCGCGCTTGCACTCGCACTCGCTCTCTCATTCTCTCGGCACTCACACACACACACATACAAACGATTTGCCGCTCTCTCTCTCTCTGGCGCTCCTGCCGCTGTGCGCTACACTAAACACTACACACACTAAAGGTGCAATTGCAGCTGCCTTTGTCTCGGCTGTTATTATTGGTTCGGCTCCTGCAGACGACAACGACGACGACGATTGCTGCCACGTCTTGCGTGACCACCGGCACGGCACACACACCACCTTTTTTCCGCACGCAGTGTTACCACTAAATATACGTATAGTTTAAAAAAAACCAAAAAATCGTCGCAAGAGGCAAAAATAAAACAACTTCAGCGCCTCAACGCTCCTTCTTAGCACGCGCTCGCAATCGTCCGTCGCTTGCAGACTCCTGTCGCGCCCTACCTCCCCACACCCGCTCTCGGTAGCCATACTCGCTCTATCTTTCCCTCTTCCTCCCTCCCTCTCTCTCTCTCTCGCTTTGCTAATCGCCAACGTCAACGTTTCATCGACGTTTTAAGTGGTTTTTCTACTTTAGACTTGAACTTTTTCTACTTCGCAGGATTTTCTTGTCATTCATTGTTGTTGTTGCTAACGTTGCTGCTGCTGTTGTTGTTGTTTAATTTTTTTGTGCTGAAATTCTTACTATGGATTTTGTTGTTGTTGTTATTGTTGTAGCCCACTACCCTCTGTTTTAAGTGGTGGGTTTTCCTTTATGACTGCCTTTTTACGACAGTTTTTCTTTGCTTTATGAGATTTTCGTCGTCTTATGTCTTATGGTGACGAGAGTTTCAAAATTCTTCTTTTTGCGCGTTTAGTTTTTCTGCGTTTTGAGTTTTTGCTCGTTGTATTTACAATTTTCCACATTGCTGTACTCTCTCTGTATATGTGTGTGTGTGTGTGTGTAATGTGTGTATGTTCGCGAAACGTTGCTCAACGATGGTAGCAATTTGGCTGTGGCTGATTCATCATCATCATCTCACCAACTACATCATAATCATTATCATCGTTATCATGATTATTATCGCTGTGATGATCAGCTACATCGTCATCATTACAAACCACCACACTCACAAACACCGCACTTATACTAACACACTTTTTGCGCATTCGGCTTTATACGCCTTATATTTGTGCGTGTGTGAGTGAATTTTTGTCTTAGCGCGTTTTCTTGAATCTGGAAGAATTATTGAAAAGGGGGGAAAACAAAGTAGAAATTTATTAGTTCGCTTCGTCGCAGTTGGCAAACAAGATGCGATATTTTTTTTTACTGTGTGTGTGGGTGTGCAATGACTTTGTAAGTGACTGTGTGTGTGTGTGAGTGCGATGAGTGCATGTTTGTACACATGTATGTGTGTGTGTATGTGTGCAGACAGGTGAATGTATTTTATGTGCTGCAGGAGCTGCATGTGACGGTTAACCATGTTTGTGAACTACTTAATGCTTCTGTGATGGGAAAAGGGGAACTGGAGAATTGGGGAATGGGAGTTGGGAATGAGAATGAGGTGAAAAACGTTTGCTTGCGTGTGCACCTCACACGCCCCCTCCCCTCTACTACTACTACTCCCTCCGTTTGACTGAAGACTTGCCGTGGTATGTTATTATACTTTGTACCCATTCAAAAATTAGTGCAAAGAGCAGCTAAAGTTGTGCAAATTTGGGTACCAATGAATGATATTTATGATGAGCTAAATCGAATTGGCTTATTAATTTTAAAGGCTATAAGAGCGAATGTTCAGAAGTTTTTTCACAAAAGAGCGGTGCACATCATATTTAGGTGCTTCAACTTGAGCAAATTTGGCCACTTTGAACTTGGAAATTTCAGTTGTAATTCATCAACTTATTTGTTTCATTTTCTTTACGCTGTATGTATGATAACAAGTGATAGCTAACAAGGAAGAAACATTCTACAGGATATATTCCAGTCGGGCATTTGGTCAACAAGTGGTCGCCTATTTGTTTTTGGTTGTTTTAACTAGCTACTGCAATTGACTCGGCTTAAGCTTTAGCTGCATGCATGACTCAGCTCAGTTTGTCCATTCGTCAGTTCGTGCATAGTTGATTGTTTTTCTGTGTGCAAACGGTGTTTTTATTTGCCTAGAGACACACGACACAATACAACACAAAACACAACAGCTCGAGTCGATTCGACTCAAAGCGACCCGGTAGCAAAAGCAGCAGCAACAGCGGCAATTACCCCACAACAGTTACACCACTAACTGACCAGCTAGCCTGGTAAGAGCTGGTTAGTTAGCCAGGCAGTTAGTCAGTCAGTTGTTGTTTTTAGTTTGTTATGCAGCTAGTCAATCTTGTCAACTGTACTCTAAAGTGCAGTTTTGCTTTGTCCGCCGTTTGTTTATGTGTGACCAGTCAATAATTTAGTTTTCCACCTATCGTGTACATACATATATATTTGTGTATATACAAATGCACATACATATATAATCTGTTGCTGAGATTGGAATTTCATTTGTAGCTGACTATTACTTTTATCTTTGCGCCACAAGCAAGCAAGCTGGCATGATGTAAGCATTTAAGTTCAGCTCTATTGAATAACACTCAAATACATGTATCATATATACAAATACATACATATTGTATAATTGTACATGCGTGCAGTGATTACACTAATTGCAGACTGCACATTGATATTTACATGACGACTTTATAAAAAATTAATTTTGATAGAACATTTTTTAAATCACAATCTTCGTATTTGAAGCTATCTTAATGGAACTTGTCCTAATTGGATTAGTATGTCTTATCGAAAAAGTGTAATTTTCCATTTAATGATGATCAAATTTATTAAATACATGTTTTAATAAGCGCAATTGTTTATTATTATTTTATATAATTATATTATAATATAATTATAATTATTTATTTAACACATTTATGATTCCCATGCTGTAATTTTAACTCGATAGTATAGTGGCTAGTATTACGAGGGATTGTTGTCGTCAAGGGATCGTTGTTTTTCGATATGGGGGGTAAAAGGGCGGAGACGAGAGGTTATATTATGATAAATGCATGTTAATTAGTGTGATCAAGAAACAAGAGATCTATGATAATTAAATACTAATACGTAATCCTATGTGATGAAAATTGCAATCATGATGCACACACATTCAAATGCGATAAGCAAATACAAAATACAAAATGACAGATGACATAACAAACTAAAGGTTAATTCGCTCAAGCTCAAAACAATTGTCAACAATTTAATACTCTCACAACAAACTACGCTTTAAATTGCAAATTGAAAAACACAGTGACACATAAACCTGGCAGACTAGAATTAATAACAGCGCAGCGTTGACATCAATTAAGTAAATGTACACACACACACAGTTACATATATACATACATATGTATCTCACATATGAACTAATCAATAAAATCTCACTTAAAATGTCGAAACACGGCAGAAACATTGCAATTAAAAGTTACAGACTTTGAGATACCCTGTTCCAAAATTAAGAAGTTTTTGACTCTCAAACTATTACTTTAAAAAGGCTAAAAAGGCAAAGACATTATTGTGTGATTAGCTTATACGTTGTTTTCAAGGGCAATGAGGTGAATATTAAAAATTTCAAGGTGAGACTAACAAATCAAACAACATTTTTGTTGGGAGTTCTGAAAGTGTCATTTCGATTTATGCAAATAGAAAACGCTTTGGTGTCACACAGTGGCACAGTGATTTAAACTTGTCAATAAAAAAATAATGGTAAAAAAAAAAATTTGTAAGTCGTATTTTTCTACTAAACTAATTTAAATTTGAGGCAATACATACAAATGTAAATGTTTAAATATCGAAAATATGCTGTCAACATATGGAGTTCAACTTGAAGTTCTTCACAGTTCTTATTAGCAAGAGAGCACTGTATACGAGACGGTGTGTATTAAAAGAGCAATTGATGGGAATATTTTGAATGCTACAAATAAATAAAAGTCACGCGAGATGCGTGGCGCAAGGTGGAGACGAGAAGGTGATTCTGCTAACGGTGGGGGCGGGGCTGGAGGTGGAGGTGGCCGACAACAAACAACAAATATACAACAATCTCCACAAAACTCGCTGACGTTCGAGGAGCAAAGCAGAGCAGGGCAGCAATTCGTATGAACGAATCGAGACGAATCAAGTCGAGTGAACGACGCGAATTGCACGAAGCAGCCGAAGCACAAACGACAGCGACAACAACAACAAGGGCGCGAGGCCTCACACACACCTTTAATTTAATTGCCATCAATTATGGTAAAAAGATTAAGAAATCAAAACAAGCGCAAAACGTAGAAAAACATGAATAAGGCGAATGAGAAGCAAAACGAAACGAAACGAAACATGTACAGCAAACAGTGACAACCACACACGCACACACACACGCACACAAGCTCAGACAGACAGGTAAGCAGCAGCAGATACAGAGACAGAGACAGACATACATGAAGAGCCGTACACAACTTGCAAATTGCGAGTAATTGAGCAGATTAAAGTCAAGCAGCGACAGCGACAGCAACAGCAACTGAGGAGGGAGCAGACCAGACAGACAGACAGACAGGTAGGTAACAACAACAACACCGGCAGAAACGACGACGACGAGATGCCAGCAAGATTTCGATTGAAACCCGAATCAACCGACGAACGATTAAAAACGTGAGCACGACAATCACAATAACAACAACGACACGAATACATGTCGAGCTACTAAATAGACGTCTACACATAAGCACGCCATTCACACACACACACTTGCAAAATGAGCGCGACAAAAAAACTGCGCACACATTCATACACACATTTGGTATGTAAATTTGCATTAAATTATGCAAAAATACCCAAATTATATATGTATGTTTGTGCAGGCCAAGACAAGGCAAGAGTAAAAAGACCAACCAAAATGAGACCAAACACCAGTGTAAATAAGAGCGCAATGGAGCCGAACAACAAGAGAAAGCCAAACAGGCCGCCAAGCGAAGCAGCTGAAGAAGTTGATTTAAGCAGCAGCAGCAGCCAAAGACAACAAGCAACAAATGTGTCCCCCGTCGTCGTCTACAGATAAAATTGAGAACGGTATGCCATGCAGAGAGAGAGAGAGAGAGCTAGCGAGAGAGCTAAAATGTGAGCCGAGGCCAAACGAACGATGCAAAGGTGGGGGCCAACTAAGCATTGAGTAGGAGAGCGCACATTTGCGTGGGTGTGCGTGTATCTCTCTCTCTCTCACTCTCTGCATGTGTGTGTGCGGTGGCGAAGGTGAATGAGATACCCAAAAGACGTTCAAATCAAAACACGCAGCAAAGGTGAAAGAAAATGTGCGCGCCAATATGTGGGAGCGAAGCATATGTGTATATGTGTGCATGAATGAGCATTAAAAGCTGAGCGTGAAACGCAGTTTGATGCTCAATTGCTACGAATACGAAAGCAGCAACAACAACAATAGCATCAGCAGGCTATGTTAGCTGTTGCTGTTGTTGTTCTGCTACTGTTGTTGTTTTGTTTGCTTTTGTTAGCGGTGGCATAGGTAAATATATACTATTTATACATATGCGTGTGTGTGTGGTGGTGGTGGGTTCTTTCAAGTGGCAGCTGCTGCTGCTGCACGCAGCGTAAAATGCTGCACCAAAAATGATATTACAAATGAACACTAATATTTTGCCTAGAAATTGGCAAATGGCAATCCAAATAAATTGGCACATTTGCTGCGAGGGTTGCGCGACAAGTTGTCGGCGAAATGAAGCCTGCTCAACAGTGCGTGAAAATGTGAAAAACGCCACAAATCACACCGACAAAAATAAATAAGTACAAATTTGCGACGTTCAATATTTCAGGCATTAGCATACATATAAACATATATACACAGGCACACATATACAAATGCAAATACATTCACAATGGGCAATTAGTCATTTTGCGCTTTAATGCTATTTTTCGTATATTTGCGCGTAGTTTCTCACGCTCACACAAATTTTACGATTCGCAATTTGCCTTTTTGATCGAAAAATATGTTAGAGCAAAGATGATGAGAGAGAGGCACACACGTACACACAAACACATATGCACACACGCCCAAAGCATATGCAAATACATACGTAAACATATTTCGTAAGTGTTCATCAAAATTATCATCGCAGCAGCGGCAGCAGCCGGCCACGAATAAAACAACAACAAAAACAGCCAACAAAATACAAAACAAAACTAAGAGAGAGCAACAATAACAATAATGGAAAAAGTCTCGGACCAATCGATTTAGCTGCTTGCCAGCTTTTCATTTGTGTGTCTGTGTTTGTATGTGCACATAATTTATTAAAAGTTGGAAAAAGCAACGCAATTTTAGTTATAAATACATAAACACTTGGCCGCATTACTGTGTGTGTGTGTGTGTGTGTGTGAGTGTGCGAGAGACAGCAAATAGTGGGAGAGAGAAAAATGTGATTTAAAATAACAGAAACAATTAATACTCACTCACTCTCAACAACACATTGAATATTATTTATTGATGCTCATTCTCAATTGTCTCGCTATCTCGCTCGCACTCCCCACACCTCTTTCAAACTAACTACCGTTGATTTTGTTTTCCAACTTGCTTTCTATAGTATTTAATATTGCACGCCAGCTTGTATGTGTGTGAGTGTGTAGTAAATAACGAAACGACGTAGACAAAACTATATTTAGATACAAGTAACTGTATAATTTGCACTGCTGTTCTCCTAAATTAATCAATGCACGAAATACAAAGAAAAAAACTATCTATAAATGTTTATTCGTATGTATGCAAATGAATTGTTAGTTTTCAAGTGTCGAAATGCATGTTAAATGTGACTAAATACAACAACAAAAAAGAAGAAAAAATAAGGCGAGCGACTGACTCATCTGCCAAACAAAAAAAAATAAATGTGCCGACGACGCCTAACTGTATTTCATATGATATTTGTAATTACCTTTTGTGCTCCCAATCTTTATGTATCCAATTCAGTTGGTTGACAATATTAAAATCATAATTTGCCATGCACAACAACATTCAACACACTCGACTTGTGTTCGATTTTCGGTATTTTTCGTTTTTATTTTCGTTCACTTATTTGTTGGTTTTTGCTTTGCTCTCGCATTCGCCTGCTTGGCGCGCTTGCTCTCTCGCTCTGTTGCCGAAAGAAACACACAAAAACAGCGCAACGAACACTTACGCATACAAGCACACATTCGACACTAGCTCACGCTCTCTTTCTCTCTCGCGCCCGCGCGTTATTTATACATATGCGTGTGTGTGTGTGAATGTCTGTATGTATTTTACGACGATGAAAAAAGCCTGCCTCTTCACAAATCAGGTTTGCATCATTTTATTTCACATTTCTAAGCAATTTCCAATGCAACTTTGATTTCAATACACTGCAGGAAGCACTTATTAACACTTTTCACAATAAATTATCAATTATTTGCGACATTTTAACCGATTTTTCACGAATTTCTCGAGCAGCTTCAGGATGCTCGCAGTTACCAGGTATTATCGCTTATCGATACAAACAATGCGTCCCTGCGACATTGCCACAATATCGATAGATCGCTATTAAGCATTTAACTGTTAAATACTATCGAGTTTCAAAGAGGCAATAATGAAATCATAATTGTCTTGGGCGTGCATCACTTTTGCTTGAATATTCTGACTATAATTTCTGCATTTTACATAATATAAACGTCCCGCTAGCTGGCAATTCCAATTGAACAAAACTCAAAATGGTAATGTTAACCAAGTGCAGTAATGTTAACTAAGGCGACACCTGGCGTAATTTTATGTAAGCGGCTAAGGCGGTTATATATTTCAAATTTCAAAAGATATATTTGCTTGTGATTTTTTGTTGCAATCTACAAACTTTAGTGTGATGAAGCGTTATTGTAATTATAAATCTTTTCGGGAACCAAGCGTCGAACTCGCTTCTTGATGACTGTTATGGATTTTCGATATTCATCCAAGCGCGACTCAATAAATTCGTTGAGGCCAAACACCGAGTCAACGACGGTTTTTACAATCGGAAAACAAGTCAAAGCATTCTGCAGCATTACTCGAATCGTCTCAACGAAATCATCGAAACTATTGAACTGATCACGATCGAGTCGATCTTTTAGGATCGCCCAATCCAGTTGCTCCACGCGATCATGATCATAGTTGGGATTCCTGGCAAAGCGACGCCACAAATCGCAACTGTTGAACACCCAGTTGAGGTGAAAGAGTTTCCGTTTGGTCAGCGATTTTAGCAGACGCTCGCTGTGATGCTTCTCGATCAAATAGTTCTGCCAGTCGAGCAAAACTCGCGAACTAACCTCCAATTTATCGGGCTCCATGTCCAGTATCGACATCGACTCATCCTCGATTTCGGCTTCGGCTTCCGCTTCGACTTCAACTTCGAATGCCACTTGGGGTTTGACTTCGGGTTCGATGACGGGCTCATATTTAACTTCGACTAGAACTTCGTGTTCGGATTCACAGTTTATTGGGATTTCGCATTGCACTTGTGGCTCAAAATACTGCGTTGACTTTTTGGGCTGGTTCTGATCGAGATGCTTCGACTTCTTTTTGCGTTTCTTTATCTCGATTTCGTTGCACATGTCGATCTTAGTCAGGTGATCGTAGAACACCCCCTTCAGCTCCTTGCCGGCCAATTGGACTGGCGACCCCTTCGGATTGTAGAGCATGCAGTTGTCGAAGATCAGCTCAAAGTCGAGCAGCGCCTCGTTGCCATCCCAATAGTAATTGTTGTGCAATCGCTGCCGTATCGTGTTCAGGTCCATCGGATGCCTGATCAGATCGTGGTAGTCTGGTATGCAGAGGGCGACTGCATCCACCGGATACCGGAAGTGGAATGACCAACTACCATTCAGCAAATGGCCCAACACCGACTTAAAGCAGTCCAGCACATTGGTTCGTCGTCCCAGTTTACCGGGCGGCGGCACAACCGGCGGCTGAACAATGCCATTCACCGGCTGAAGGTATTCCTCCTCAATATAATCAATGTCCATCTGCTTGCAGGTAAAGCTTTTGGCTACGATTCAACTTTTTTCAATTCAATTTTTTTTTGTTATTTAATATTTCGCTCGTCAAATTGCAAAGTCAATTTATTCTGACAGAGAAACGCCTATCGAATATCGAATATCGAATATTAAAATATTGTCTCATTTTTATCGTAGCCTGCTACGAAATTTTGATTATATTCGAAATTCAATTTCTCAAATTGGAATTGAGAGTAATTGCCATTATCTCGAGATAAAAGATTTCTTCAAACATTTATCAGTTTCTTTTGACAAAACATCTAAAAATCAACTTTCATGTTTTCTCCGTCAAATAAATAAATCTCTTTATAATATTCAGAAATGTTTGGTTTGAGAATATTATTCTATTATTTAAAATGTACGCGATAACTGCACTACTTTTGGCTGTTTAAAGAGTGTGATTTCAGCTGAAAGCACATTTGAGTCAGAGTATTGCCTGCAACCAGCCTGTGCAACACACACTCCACGTCACTTTCGATGTTGTTCTTCCCAAAATGTCGGGCAAAATGTTGAATAACTTTGACAAGCACTTGACTAACTTGACTCGTCGACCCCAGCTCCAAAGGCAGATACAGATACAGAGAGAGAGAGAGAGAGAGAGAGAGCTAGAGAGAGGGAGACAGATGGAGAGGGGGCAAGCAGTGAGTTGCACTTGAGCATGAGTTTCCAGTGTTTGCAAAACTGTCAAACATATTCAATGTTAAGGCTTTCAGTGTCTGCAGCTGCACATTAATAGTGATCGGTCCACACCAATAATTTGCCCGATTTTCACTAATGTCTTTGTCAAAGTTCATTTTAGTTGACAAGAAGTTTGTATGCTTAAAGTGCTATGTGACAGGCAGAAGGAAGCAGGTCCGATTAGATAATGTGTTTATATTCTAATCGGCAACAATAAAACTAAACATTCTCTTATACCACATGCAGAAAGAGTTTCCTCGCCAACTTACCCCTTAAACTTAAAATGTTGCATTGCAATATGGATATCTAATGTACTCTGGCAAATTATTGATCAATTATATACATTTCATTAAGATTTTGTTACCAAAACGTATAATTATATTCAACAAGTATATTATACAAGTTGAGAGCCTTATAATTTCTTTTGAAAACTCGTAATAATAAATATTACTTGATTAAATGCAATATCATCCTTCTATTCTCTTGCTGCAACCAATCAATTGGATACAAATATTTCATTGCAACATTGGATGCAGAAATTAAACTTCAGTTTTAGTTGGCATTTTGACAAAATTTCCGATTGTTGATTTTCTACTTGCTGCTTCCATTTCTCGAAGTGGTAGTCACTGAAAGCCATGTTGCCAAATCGACTCAGCACAAAACACGGGTCCTTCAGGCCGAGAATGATTTGAACAATGATTAGCGGCTTTATGTGACAACTTTTGAGTGCAACATGAAAGCAAACCGCTTATAAGTTGAAGGGGATAGCGCAGGAATTAAATGTAGAGCTTAAAAATAGTTGGATTGGTAATAAACGCAGTTCCTGAAACCATTCTGTGGAACTGATAATATCAATGATCTAGTTGAGCGGGACATGGCGGAAGGTCTGTTAACCCACGAGCAATACAAGTGCCATGACTATGCAGTCCCCACTCCGATCTTACATTGCATTGCGGCATCTGCACAGGAATGGAAAGGATGAGCTGACCATTAAGTGGTTAAGGGTGGCCCTGCTGCAATATGAAGGGACTCCCAATCGCGTAGAGATGTAGCCCGAATTTAGGCTGGCAGGGGTTAGTTATAAGTACGAATAAAAGCAATACTTTTTGATTGATTGAGTTCTCCCAAAGCGAGTAGCAAGATGCAGCCACAAACTTATCGGTGTTGCACTATGGCATTGGTGCCCAGTCAAAGGCAAGAGAACTTTAAAATCCGACGACAGTTGTGCTGGAAGGAAGATTATAGCTTAAATTTATACATAAGATATATTTATTGGTTTACTTTTACACCAAATTATATTCTATGCTTCTAGGCTATAAAACATCTATAATGAAAAATGTAAAGATTAAAAATCTCAAATCAAGATCAGCAATCTTAAATCGTGAATTCTGAAAGAGTAGAATGAAAACATGAGAAATACTTGGTCAAGGTTGTTCATTCGAGAATAAACAATTCGAATCAAACAATTTATGCTTGGCTTTGAATCAAGATTGATTTTATATAGATTTGATATATAGCTGAATGCTGTTTTTAGATGATTGTCTAGTCGACCAGTTTTGAGCACACTCTCTTGATTGCATGTTAAAGTCTTATAATTATACATGTAAATCCTCCATTTTGGCAGAGTGTCCTTATGGCTTACAATGGGAATAATCGCTTTGCCAGCATTGTGCTCTACATAAGTTGACAGCTTAATTCCCACTTGGCGCAACAGCAGCCCTCTCAAGTCGCTTGTTGCTCCGATGTGAAAGTTGGCGGATTCCCCACCTTCCCGGTCCTGAAACTGGGCGAACGGCCAAGCACTGGCTCCGCCCAGATCCTGTACAATATGAGCATTAAGCATGCATACGACGACAGAATCTCGCATGGCATCTGTCCTTCTGTCTTCGATTGGTTTGGCCATTTATTTAATTAAATTGCCTTTTTTAGCCTATATTCATAGGGGCTGTGCATCGATTGAAAATGGTTTGAGTGAAAAATGTGCAATTAGTTTTGCGATAATTTATTCAATAATTTTTCGTTAATTTTATTTATGCACTATTTTATAGTATTCGTGTTTAATTATACGCAATGTAACATTATGTGACATATTTTTAGGGGAATTTGGGATCGTTTTTGTGTTGGTTATTTTAGCGCCACATTCTTATCGCTATTTTCCATTTTCCATTTTGATATTTTTGTCCATATTTTATTTTTCTCCTTCTTTTTTTTTGTGGTGTCTGTGGGTGGTATGGGTATATGATACGTATGTAAATGATATATGCGCGCGGTGGGCATGTTCTGTAGGAGGGGAGAGGGATATATCTGGGGGGGTATGTAGAGATATGATGCCCACAGCGCTTTTGGCAATATGTTGCGTTTACCGATACCACATTATGAAAACAAAGATGAGAACAAAAACACAAAAAAAAAGAGAAGCGTAAACATAATCAAACTAGAAGAGATGCGCTGGCAGGGAACGTTTCAGCATCAGCATCAGCTACAGCCTGAGCTTGAGCTTGAGCGGGAGCGGGTTCGGGAGCGTAAGCGAAACAATTTGCGGTCGGCTCAAGGGCTTGGGTAACACCTGTAGGAATACTTGATTGCCGGCTCACGCTCAGTTTTGATATCACGCGCTCGATGGCCGAGGCAGCAGCAGCGGCGGCAGCAGCAGCATCATCAGCTGTGGCAGCATCAGCAGCCACGTGACAGCCCCGCTAGCGGCCACATTACGCGCCGCCTCCTCCAGACCTGCAACCAAAAAACACAAAAAAAATAAAATAAAATACACACAACAAAAATTCAGAGTCAATGCTTTGTCCCTGAACATTGGGTGGGCAATAACAATTGTGTTTTGGAAACTTACCGCCAACGAAATTGAGATGTTCATCGTTTATGGACGAGGCGCCTGGATGTAGCTTGATTTCTGTATAGAAAACGAAACAAAGCAAAGCATATGTCATGGGTCAGACATGCTGCATGCCACATGGGAGCTTTTGTTTAGCCAGATTACGCATACGCACCGTATAGCCGCAAGGTGCCCTCGGCACGCCCCAGCGAGTTTGTGCTGACACAGTGATAGGTGCCCACATCGGAGGCAGAAAAGGAACGCACCACAAGCAACATGACGCCGCGATAGCCATCGCGCTTCTCCGTTATACCATATTTGGGCCTGTGAAAGTGTAAACACGAAATGGGAAATGGGAAATGGGAAATGGTATGTCTGTAAACATGGGAAACAAGTCGCTTTAAGGAATGCTCTCACCCATCGAGAAGCATTTCGGGTCCAGGCGAGAGCGAGTCGAGACTGGATGTGGAATAGCCATTCGAGGTGCGCGCTCCCTTCAGCCAGTAGGAGACCGGTGAGGGTGATGCCTCCACCTGGCATTCCAGTTGCACATCGGAGCCAAGCGGTGTGCCAAGCAGCTGGCTGGGTGCACGCACCATGGGCGCAACTGTAAAATCACAAGAAATGTTGTAGATAAAATGGCAAAGGGAGAAAGAGAGGCAGGCAGACAGACTTACATTGCACGCTGAGCGAGACACGCTTGCTGACTGCCGGCGGCACATCATTGGAGGCAATGCACAGATAGGCGCCCATCTGGCGACGCTCCAAACGCAGCAGCCGCAACGAGGAGCCATTATACGTTTCCACTGTAAAACAGATTTCGAATTGTGCTCTCAACTCAGCAACTTAAAGGGTCCTTCCCAGTTACACTCACCTTTCATGAGCTCCCGACTGCCCGGTTTGCGTATGAGAATCATTTCGCCATCCTCGCGTCGCCAGATGACACGTGGCTGGGGGTTGCCGGTTGCCTTGCACGTCAGCGTCGCATCCTCGCCCTCCTGCACGGCCAGATCTGCGGACGAGTCCTCGTTGATGATGTCCGGCGGCACTGCAAGATACCAATATATACCTCAATCGCCATCACTCAATTGTCAAAGTTGATTTTCCACCTTGCACATCGATGCAGCCCACTTGCTTCTTCATCGGGCTCGTGTTTATCTGGCACATGTAGCAGCCCCGATCGCTTTCACGCAGCTTGCTGATCTTCAGTTTCCAGCTGATATACATAAATATATAACGAAATATCGGAATTGAATTCACAATAATGCTCTTAATATAATATAAATGGTTTTGTGTAGAAATGGTTTTTATTATAGTCTTAACAATAAGGCTCTCAACCGAAAATGTTTAAAGTAAGTCTACTTTTATATCTACAAGATTAATATAGATTTTGTAAATTTATTAATAAAGATCAAGTATTAAAACCTACTTGGAGGGAGTCGTATATTATTATTATTGGAGGGGAAGCTGCACCGCGACCTATTTGATCTATTGTGCTCCCTTCTGAGCCTATAGCTCTTCCATTAACCCGAAATCCCTTACAACCGTGAGGATCTTTGTTGGGTTGAGGTCTTCTATGTCTTTGCAATTCAAAACATGCGCCCCTAGGATGCTGAGTCTTCTTCTAGTTAAGGCGACACATTCTGATAGGATGTGCATTGAGGATTCCTCCTCTACTATATATACCCATTTTTGTTAGGCGACTTCTTAGTCTACAGTATCCTGTCAATAGACCGGTAAGTATCCTAAGGCTGGTAGAAGTATTTGCAATTATTGATCTGACTCAGATGGTAATTCTAGCTCTTCAACTCCAATCTTATAACAACATTTTGTTAATCACTTTTTAGATTAATCTAGTTCTTAACAACTCCTAGATCGAGATAATGTGAGACCGATTTGTTCATTTCATCAACATTTCTTGAGTGAATCAACACCCAAAGTGCAATTTATATTTAAAAAGGTGCAATTTATATACTAAATAAGTTATAGAATCTGATGCGATACTAAATGCGGAATCGTTTGTGCTTGCTTTGTACTCACGTGTGCACGTCCTGGTGCATAACACTGATCCTGGCGTTGTGCGTTACGACGCGTCCTTGTAGAGCGAGTACCGTTTGATCGGATGCCCGCAGCCAACCGACCTAGTGGAAAGATCATGAAGAGTGTTTAATTGTGTTATGGGTTGCAAGTTCGAGCTGAGTCAACGATTGACCTACTTTGTTCTTGCCCAGATTGCGCACGGAGCAGGCCAAAACGGCCTCACGACCAGCCGGATACGTGACATTGTTGATGAAGCCAATAAACTCCGGATCGGGATCCAGCTGCGAGTTTGACTCTATGGCCGGCACGTGGCATTAGATTGAATTAGAATTTGATTGGTTGCGGGGGGTGTGGGGTGTGGGCAGATAGAGGGGAAAATGGCAATTGGATGCACGACTATGCCTACTTACCATGATGCTGATTCTGTGGATTGCCATTGGCGCATTTGGCGACTATTATCAAAATGACAAAGAGCGGCCCTAAATGGCTCTTCATTTTGTGATTGTTGTTGTTGTTTTCGATGCTGGTTATGCTGCTGCTGTTGCTGTTGCTGCTGCTGCTGTTGTTGTTGCCGTTGTGGCCGTTGTTGTTGCGGCTTGCAGCTGACGTTTGTTATTTGCAACAGCTGTCACTCGATTCGGCTTAGTTGTTGCTGTTGTTTTTGTTGTTACTTTTGTTACTTTATGGGTATTTTTTGCTGTGACCGCCACAATTTCTATTTGCAGTTGAATTTCGATTTCGATTGCTATTTGCCGCATGCGTTGTTTGTGCAAATTGCGCAAAGGGCTGTGATTTCACATCTGCATCTGCATCACTCCCAAGTGCTGTTGACATCTGCAAAAGCGAACAACAAACACAAACAAAATGAAAAAAAATCTGAATCCCAAACAAAACATCAAAAATTGCTTCCAAATTTATTTCACAGCTCACACAAACCCACAAGCCCACATACATATACAGAGCAGCATCAGTAAATGGAGTTCAGTTTAAGTGCTGCAGCAGCAGCATCAGCAGCAGCGGCAGCAGCAGCAGTGTTGCAACAATAGCAATCAACAATAGAGCTGCTTGCGGGTTGGGGCTGTTTGGGGTGGCTGTTTGGGGTGGCTGTTTTGTGGCGCTCAGCTCTGCTAAGTTGATTATGTGCGGCGCACAGTTTTACAATTTTACGTTGGCTGCCTTTAGGCGCGGCCAATATCTGGATGGCAAGACTCCTGCTACCCACTCCGCCCAGCTCCATCTTCTTCAGCTGCCGCTCAAAGTAAAGGTAAATGCAATTTTGAACACAAACATGAATTTATGGCAATGCCAACGCCCACTGCCACCCACTATTTTATTTTATTTTTACAGCAACGGCATCCAAAACAGGCCAAGAACAAAAAAAAAAAAGTAAATAAAAGTAAAAAGGGAAAAATGAGCGAGTTTCGAGCGTCGGCAAAAGCCAAAGGTGCAAAATATGAATGTAAATATTAAAAAAGTTTCAAGACGCAAAACTAACGAGGTGTTCGCTCATTTGCAGAACCCTCAACCGTGCCCCCTCTGCCCCGTCCTCATTCCCTTTCGCATTCGCATTCCCATTCAAAGCAAATCCACTGCAGCAACACGGCTGCACTTTGACGCATCTGTAATTTAATTTCAGAGTGAAATTGAGCGCTCGACTAATACTAAATTTGCACTAAACCAGTTAGTCAGCTCCCTTGAAAGTGCACTGGGCCAGACTGTTAGAGCCGGGTCGGTGGCGGCGGAGTGGCATCGTTGCCAAATGCCTTGTAAACTTTTGACGAGAGGTGTCAATGCAAAGCCACTGGGCTAAAATACACGAAATGCCGTCAGTGGATCCCAGGCAACTTTCAGCGGCGGAAATGCGATTTGCTTATTGAATTACTTTTAGTGGAAGTGGAGCTGCCGTTGTAAAAAGTAAAAAGAGAGCCAAGTTGCAACAATGTTGCAGCTATGCAGCCAGATAGATTTATTATATTGTTCACTTACACAATATAATTCAATTGCAGCACAAAGCATTGCAGAGCTTCCACATTTTGGACAGACTTGTTTATCACTTGCAGCCCTGCTCTGAACATGATTTTAATTATATTCTTAAAACTTGTATAATCTGTATAATAAGCCCCCGATTGCCAAGAGTGGCCGTATTTACATTTTTTTGATATGTCCAACTTAGATTCTTAGCTCTTTTCCTTTCAAATCGCAACTACATCTGTTATTGTAGAATCTCACTGGAATACTTTTGTAAAGCTTAACTTTAATCAGGCTTGAAGTAACTTATCTTTATGTAGATTAAAATATATATGATAATTAATTGGTATTATAGATTTTTACATATCTTCCTGGCTTCCAAATATCTTCTATTATTATGAAAATATCTGTATTATATGAATACATATATATATATATATCTATATATAAGAAATACAATATTTCTAAAAGACATTTCTTTAAAAATACATTATTTTTATACTATACACAATTAATCAGGCATTACAACCTGGGAATTTGTAGTTATTAGGATTGTCCGATTTGCATATCTAAATTTACAGACTCAAAGACATGTAAGCAGACATGATTAAATTGATAGAACTTAAATTTAGTACACTCTGAAAAAGTATAATAAAGCTGAGACAGCAAAAACAAAGATCGTTAAGCGTTCTGCATTGGAAATGATGAGTTGGAAATTTAATAAAGGCTTAGTGCTCAAATAGTCTGGCCAATTCAAAAAATATGTTTCTATATCTGTAGAACACTATAGCCACACCCACAGGGGCTTTATATTGTATTGTTCCTAAGTGTATCTGCACATAACTTTGTAGACAATAAAAAATAAAGTAAAACAAAAAAAAAAAAAAACTGGAAAACTTTCATATTGTGCTCAGTTGCAATAAATTGTTAGTTGGAGCATAACTTGCAACAAATCGAAAACAAATCCATGCTGGAATTAAAATGTAAATTACATTTCAACTCGTCAACTCTAACTTTGGTATATATATATATATATATATTTACTTATTCTTTGCTTTCTTTCATTTTTCGATGCTTTGCAGCTGTCAGGCAAAAAACAAATTTGCATGCACACTTAAGAAACGGAATATTTAAAAATGGAGTGCCCCAGAGCCCTCCCCTGCCTTTCACTCATCCAAAATGTGCCACAGTGCGAACATAAATAAATTTGCCGTGTAAACAAAAAACATGGCGAAAAACTGCGCCAAACAAATGAAAAGTACAAACTGCAAATCAGCGCAGTTGCTGCAAGGTGGAACCAACAGCTGGCCGAGCACTGTCACTCCAACAGAGGGTGGCAGCCAGCGAGAGAGAGAGAGAGGGAGAGAGAGAAAGGTTGAGAAACAAGGTGGCAGCAACGAAAAGAGCAAAGGCGTACTAACACCAGCGCCAAAATCCTTTTCTTTTTAAGTTGCCGAGCTGGCAGAAATAGCGCCAACAGTCGTAACAAGGTGGAAGAGCTATTTGAGGCAGGCTGTAGCTTAAATACCCTGAAGAACATCACAGTTTCATTAAAATCACAATTTGTGTCAATTACAATTTGGTTATTTATAAGTAATGGCAACAATAGCAAGGCTTGCCAGAGAAATCATTTTCGGAACATTTGCATCGGTTTCCCCACACATCAATACCAAAATTCACACAGCTCGAGGGATTGAAATCTGGATTCAGAAACAGAAACTTAATTTAATGGATTGGTTCTCTTATTATCCTTATCTCAATATAATTAATGACATGAAAATGAAAATGAAATGAGTTGGAGAAGCAATTTCAAGACATAAAGTAATTAATAGTAACAATTATACAAATGGCAATTTTACATTTTAATATCCCCAGTTTTATTATATCCTTTATTTTATTTGTAGTTTTAAATATTAAATTAATTAATCATTTTTAATTCTATATCTATTAATTTGTTACTTTCTTATTTCAGTTTAAAATTATCATTTCCTAAAACATTTTTCGTTCTCGTTAAACAAATAAATAAATGTGATTCCCTTGCTGAAAGAATTTTAACTGTTATATCTAAGAATGGTGGTTCCAAATATTCCGAAACATTATTAAAAATTGTAAATTAAGCTGGCCCAGGTTAGATGGTTTTATAAGTGACACATTCATAGAGATAACTGAATATAAGAACATATTAAATAAACATTATGAACAGGAAAAAGAGATGACGCCTCGTTCAATGTGTGGCAAACTAAACGATGAAATTATCATATCCTTCGCAAGAGTATTGCAACAACAACAACAACAACAAGCACAACAAACACTTGAGCTACAAGCGTCAGCAGGAGTTGCTGACTGACAGTCAGGCAGCGAGGTCCTGCAAAACGGCTCCAAGTGCCAGCAATGCCAACATCTATGTCTCAAATGCTGACGTCGTGTGCTGTTAAGGCGCGATGATGGGAGCATCAAGAGTCGAAGCTGGAGCAGGAGCTGGTAGCTGGCAGCTGGGAACGGGGAGCTGTGAGCTGTGGGCTGTCAGTGGGAGCAGTAATGGCGGGTCAGCAGACGGTAAACGGTTAAATGTCAAACGGTAAATGACCGTCGCTGCTAAGCGACAAAGCAATTTGACTTAAAAGTGCTGAGCACTGAATGCTGATTCTCGCTCAGCGCCAGAATGATGACGTTGTTGTCGCGTGGAGTCGCGTGGAGTCGCGCTGCGTCCTCGACGTGGACGAGGACGTGAACGTGGGTGTGTCAGCCAAATGACTAAGGTCTTTGGTAACAACACAGCCAGCAAATGAACAGGCGGCACAGCGGCCTTAAAGGATCAGGCTTAAGCTCATTTATTTAAATTAAAACAAACACTGCAGGCTAAAAAGGCACAATGGAGTGAGCAGGGGGGCGGGGGACTCGGCTGGGTTGAAGTAAGCGGCTGGGAGAGGTGGCAACTGGGAGAACTTCTTCATACGACACGACTGAGTGCATACAGCTACACACATATAAATTGTGTGTGTGTGTGTGCTTTGAGTTTGCCTGCAAGGCGAAGCAGCAGCATATGCTGCGTGTGTGTGTGTGTTGTGTGGGTGTGCTTCTTACTGCCAGAGAACTTTGGCAACGTTTCGGAATGCCAACAAGCTGGCTTTAGTCGCCTTTCTGCCATTGTCCTTTGTCCTTGTCCGTTTGCCCTGTCTGCCTGCCTGCCTGTCTGCCTGTCATTTGTCCACTACACAAACAGGGCAAATTGTTTGCAATAATGCCCCTCCCAAGTGAGCCGCTGCCACACATCCGCCTTACGCTCTCCAGGCGCCAGCAGCCACGCCCATTATGAGATGACTGCTGCAGGTGCCCAACTCTATCCATCACAGCGCTTGCCCCTAGCTTGCCCCTGGCGCTAATGAATTTCACTGCCAATTGCACAAAGTGCAACATTAGCAACAACAACACCAACAAATGACAACAATTGTGCCAGCAACAATAACAATAACACTAACAAGTGCAATAAATAGCGATGCAAAGTTTAAGTAGAATATCACAAAATGAAAATGTTAATTGTTTGCTTCATTTTTTGTTTTATTTTTAGTACTTTATTCATTGCATACTCTGTGCCAATAAAATATGCATGATGAGATAGTGAGAAATATCGTATATGTATATATATATATATGTATATTGATCTGTATCCTCAATGATCAAAGATTTTTATTGCGCGTCTAAAGAATTTAATGGACTCATTTTAAAAGGAACTTGATGCACAGCAAACTCCACATAAAATATTGAACTCTGAAAAATGTCTGAAAAGTGTGTCCCAATTTAAAAACCAACATAATATGAAATGCCGTTGTTTTTTACAAATGCATGTTAAAAAGAAGAAAAATCGA